AGTCTAATGTTAGTGCAAAATATCATTAGGCCTTTGTAATCACCGCACAACGCGCGACTAACATGGCAACTAACACGTGCGTGGGTAAATCGTCATGTACGCTGACGGTTTTTTGGTCTGGTTGCTATGGTTTTTGTGACGTTCAGCGTGTAGGGACGCACGTGCGCATTGAATGTCGATGCCAGAGTTATAGCCTTTGATGTCCCGAGATGTGCGTCCTTTTGTTGAATTACCTTGATGAAACTTTGATGTAGCTGTTAAAAGGTCAAGTATTGTTGCAAAATCATGTTGTTTTATAATATGCTATTTTTGGCAAGCTCTGAGATCATATTTCCTGCAAGTACAGATACAATTGTACAATATTTGTAAAAGCTTCTATATTTAAAATGTGCCTGCTGTGTATTCTGTTGTGCAATTTTTTCCTGAAATTTAAGTAATAATATGATGATGCGTTACTTCATATTTTGAACATTCTATTTCAAATGTAATACCCAAATGAAGTCCAGAAATGTGAAGTAGAATGCCAATGTACTGGCAAGGGATTATGCCTTTTGTCTGAATTTATAAAGTGAGGTCATAGGTCTAACCGGGTTCCCTATTATGTTCTGGCTACCATAGAAATATACATGCCTTTCCTTAGGTCTACTCATTTTGATCCATAGCATGTGCGTTTGGGTTTTAGGTGTATACAACCCTACATTTGTTTAATTGAATGCATTATACAATAAAGTTATTTATTGTAATGGCCTACCTTTCTTGTTTTAACATTAGTAGTCTGTAAGAAATCGACCAATAGATTTAATAGGATCCTTACAGTTCAGTGCACACAGAAGGCAATATAAGTTTAGCTGACTGTAAACAAACAAAACTTGTATTTGTGATATTTAACTAATATATATAAAAGGCCTATTTATTTTAAATATCGTAACAGTTTCATATTATTTTCTTTTTTTAGACCAACTGCCATGTCAGAGTGATCCATGCCTTAATGGTGGAATCTGTTCGAATTTTGGGACATCTTTCTTCTGTCAGTGTCCAGATGGCTTCAGTGGTGTGAACTGTGAAACAGTAGTTAGTGCATGTGACAGCAATCCATGTCTTAATGGAGCCACTTGCTTGAGTCCAGTTTCTGGAACATCATTTTTTTGTCAGTGTCCAACAGGCTTCAGTGGTCTTACTTGCGAAACAACAGTTAATCTGTGTGACAGTAATCCATGCCTTAATGGAGCAACCTGCATTGAATTAGTGACATCATATTCCTGTCAGTGTCCAGCAGGCATCAGTGGTTTGAATTGTGAAACCATAGTTCTACCATGTAACAGCAACCCATGCCTTAATGGAGCAACATGCATGAATTTAGAGACATCATATTCCTGCCAGTGTCCGGCAGGTCTCAGTGGGGAGAACTGTGAAACAATAGTTCTACAATGTGACAGCAATCCATGCCTTAATGGAGCAACATGCCAGGATTTTGGGACATTCTTTTTGTGTCAGTGTCCAGAAGGCTTCACTGGTACAAATTGTGAAGCAATAGTTCTCCCATGTGACAGCAACCCATGCCTCAATGATGGAACCTGCATGTATGTAGGGGCATCAATTTTCTGTCAGTGTCCTGCAGGCTTCACTGGTATGAATTGTGAAACCATAGTAATGCCATGTGACAGCAACCCTTGTCTTAATAATGGCTCCTGCTTGTCTACAGCTAACTCCTACATATGTCAGTGTCTTGAGCAATATTTTGGAACAAATTGTGAAAATGAAGGTAATAATTTTTTTTCATAACTTAACTTTTGCCTTTTAATTTCATAAATAGATATTTATGTAAATATAAATTATATAGCATTATAGTTACAGACATACATGTAGTCTTCTTTAAGATGAAATAATATTTCAGTTGCAAGTTCATGCAAATTTTAGCATTAAAATGTGTTGAGAAATGGATAAGGTATTGGAGGACATGATCATCTGGTTCAAAACCACCCAGTGCCGATCTTCATTAGTAAACTTACTGTAGGTAAAGACACTCAACAAATATCTGGTGAAGTGCCAAACTTTTTTTTTTATTTTGAGACTATATTTTCAAGAAAAACTTATTTTGCAGTTCCACTACCGTGTGGTAGCGACCCTTGTCTCAATGGTGGGCAGTGCATGAACAGTGATAATGGATATACTTGCAATTGTCTTGCTGGATATTCAGGATCGAATTGTCAATTTCAAGGTACAGATTGTTTAATTTAATTACAACCTTTCCAACTACTGTAGGAATATAGCTCTCTAAGGGAGAACTTTAGTGCATCATTCTTTTTCCATACACAGTAGTTTCTTTGATGATGTCATTTTAGTATGATATTTTGTAAATGTGTTTTTTCAAATCATCAAAGATCTGGAGGCATTTATCACTCCTTGATAAATGATTCTAATGTTAAATTAATTTAAGTACAAGTACTGAGCTTTCTCTTCCATTATGCGGCTTGAGCACCTTTGGTGGAGATGTGCGCTTTATAAATCTTTGTTATTATTATTATTATTATTTTAGAATAATTGTGTGAAAATTGTCATACCATTGTTATCTAATTAGAAGTACTGTAGTATCAGTCAAACTTAACAGACCAATCAAAATATGTTATTTAACAGCTGAAATTATGAAAATTGACCCAAAACACAAAGGTTTATGTTTAATTACACTGTTTAAGGTTCCTTACCTTGGCAACAATTTCCATGGGATGGGGATTTAAAGGAATGGTTTCTTCCGTTGAGATCCTTTTATGATATTGTAGCTTAATGTCTTGGCATTAAAACCAACTAGGTACAGCACCAGTATATATTCCTAGATAAAGAAAGAGAGAGAATAGGTGAAGAATGACGGCACCATACCTAAAGTAACTTCATTTTTTTTTATAGCTACTGTATTAAGCCTTGTTCTACATATCAATCAATATTCTAGGTACATCAGTTCTCAACATATATTTTCATCAATGTATGAAATGATTAAACATGGTTATATGTCCCTTTGTTTCTTTTTTTGATTCTCAGACATGCTGCCATGTGAAAGCAGTCCTTGCTTTAATGGAGGAATATGTTTGAATATTGAAACATCTTTTTCCTGCCAGTGTCCAGTAGGTTTAAGTGGTGTGAACTGTGAAACAGCTGTTCTCCCATGTGATAGTAATCCATGCCTTAATGGAGCAACTTGCTTAAATTCTGAGACTTCTTTCCTTTGTCAGTGCCATGCAGACTTCAGTGGTGTAAACTGTGGAATTTTTATTTTCTCATGTGACAGCAATCCCTGCATTAATGATGGAATCTGCGTGAATTTGGAGACATCGTTTTTCTGCACCTGTCTTGCAGGCTTTAGTGGTTTGAATTGTGAAACTGCAACAGTTCTTCCATGCAACAGCAATCCATGTTTTAATGGTGGAATCTGTTTAAATTTAGTAACAGTATTCTTCTGCCAATGTCCAGTAGGCTTTAATGGTGTCAACTGTGAAACAGCAACAGTTCTTCCATGTGACAGCAATCTCTGCCATAATGGTGGAATTTGCTTAAATTTAGATACATCTTTTTTCTGCCAGTGCCCAGCAGGCTTCAGTGGGGTAAACTGTGACACAATAATTCTTCCATGTGACAGCAATCCATGCCATAATGGTGGAACCTGCTTGTATTCAGACACTTCATTCTTCTGCCAGTGTTCAACAGGCTTTAGTGGTGTGAATTGTGAAAGTACAGCTTCTCCATGTGACAGCAATCCATGCCTTAATGGGGGAAGCTGCTTGATTTCAACAACATTGTTTTTCTGTCAGTGTTCAACAGGCTTCAGGGGATTGAACTGTGAAACAGTAGTTCTTGCATGTGACAGCAGTCCATGCCTCAATGGAGCCACCTGTTTGAATTTTGAGACATCATTTTTTTGTCAATGTCCAGCATATTTCACTGGTATCACATGTGAAATGTTTGTAAACCCATGTGAAAGCAACCCTTGTATTAATAATGGCAGGTGCTTTTCTTCTGGTAACTTCTACCTTTGTCAGTGTATTGATCAATATGAAGGCCTGAATTGTGAAAATGAAGGTAATACTGTCTTTCTTGAACTACCTCTTGTCCTAGCATGCTGAAAATCACTTGACCATAAGATTACTGCACCCTGAATTAATTTATCCCACTACTGGCAATCTATGTTTCTGCATTTATCACTGCATTCTACTATATCTCACAATTTTCTAAACTTGATATTGTTTTATGTATTGAGAAAAAACAATTGAACTAAACTGTTTTATGTTTGTTTAATAGTGATGGCGAAGTCGTGTGTAACGCCTGCATTTGCCAAGGCACTTAGGGAGCTCTTTACCCATATTCATTTATATGATATATTATGCATGTCATGCACAGTGTGCAGTCCTTCACTCCTGGTGGACATATTTCATCACCAGATCATTTTCATAAAGTCATTAGCAATCTTTTGAACAAGCTATCAGATACACTGCTTTTTACCCCTAAATGCCACAGTGACAAACCACATGCACAAGTGATAAAAATCAGACTTATTTTTAGTGCAGCTGATTTGTATGATGCACCATATCATATATTATTTTATATATAAAATAAAGAAATACTTTTAACTTAATTAAAGTGAAATAATTATGTATTTTGGGTTGGGGTGGGGTGGTAACCTGCTATGTGTAAATTGCAAGGTATTCTATTCAGTCTTCTCATCCATTCACTCATTCTTTGTTCAGCTTTTTTTTTTATATAAAATTCTAACATAAATAATTTCAACAGAAGTTTCAGGAATGTGTACAAGTAAAAGAGGCAATTGTTTACAAAAGCAATTTAAATTGTTGTAGCTTGCAGCCTTTGTATCCCTCAAAAACAGATACATAGGGTTATATAAATAAAAGTAATATGAAATTTATAAGATAAAATTCTTAGATTATCCCAAAAAAGGTGATCTCTTATTAATATAAAGAGAACAAAAAATTATCAAAAAAAAGAAAAGAAAAACAAAATCTGATTTTTTTTTTCTTTTGAATATACTTGCAATTGTCATGACGGTTCTTCTTTAATAAAGCCGTCTACAATTTTTTTGGATTCTTTATGTTATGGATCTTGAAAAGTATTATATTAAAGTTTATGATACACTGCCTGTGTGTATCTAACAAATTTGAACAATGCAATTACTGTATATATTTAAATTTCCTACTTTTTATGATTACAAATTAGAGTTAATTAATTATTAAAGGAAGAAAATAAATATATAATACTCTATAATTATCTGATAATCAATTTAAAGATTTTAATATAAAAAAAGACAGTATATCTGTAAAGTATTTTATATCTGTATCTATTGGAATTGATAATTTAGTTGATATCCTTTAATATTCATTTTTTTTACAGTATATCAATAATCAGAAATTTTCTTTATCCTTTATTTTTAGAATCTTTGTGTGACACTTTTCCATGTTTAAATGGAGGTACTTGTTTGTCATTGAATCCATCTGCTTATGTCTGTTTTTGTGCATCAGGTTTCACAGGTGTGAGATGTGACATTAGAGGTATGTTTTATTTGAGAATGCTACACAAGCCTGCTATTAACAGATTGCCCTATTAAATATATCAAAAACATTTTTCCCAATAGGAGTTATGTTTATTGTGCAATAAAATGTTTATTGATATGAATTCATTTCTTTATAGTTGATAATGTAATAATAATTTCAATTTTATATTTGTAAATTCTAGTTCAGAGAGACACGTTTTCTTAGAATGTTTCAAGCAAAATAAATATAAGAAAATTGAAATACAGTATTATATATTACATAGTATATGACAGCCTAAAACGAATAAAAGAGGTTTTTTTAATGGCAAGAAACAAGTCCATACATGTATCGTCTATAATAAAGACATATATTGCAACCATGATGAAGATTTTACTTAACATTTTTTTGAAAATATTATTTAATATTCAGATGCACCTACTGAATCTGGAATGACAACAGAACAATTGGAGGCAACTGGTGCCATTACTAACCAAATAACAGAGGCAGTTACCATGACTTCAACATCAGGAGTTACTGAGGTTAGATTCACTGAACCACAGGAACCTAGTAGATCATATTCATCTTTAGCTTCTGCTATTGTTTCAGAATCATTAGAAACTACTAGTTCTGCATCCTTTATTACAATGACTGCATTTATGAGTGAATTGGATTCTGAAGGTGATGGAAGTGTATCAGAGTCTGAAGGGTTAACAGAAAGTTCAAGTGAATTTTCTGAGTTTTCTGAGAGTGGTGCAAGTGAATTTGATTCAGATCTGTCAGAATCTGCAGGGACTTCTGAGAGTGGTGCAAGTGAATTTGATTCTGATGTATCAGAGTCTGAAGGGGCTTCTGAGAGCAATGTAAGTGAAGTTGATTCTGATGTATCAGAGTCTGAAAGGGCTTCTGGTAGTGATTTAAGTGAATTAGATTCTGGTGTGTCAGAGTCTGAAGGGGTATCAGAAAGTGCAAGTGAATTATCTGAGTTTTCTGAGAGTGATGCAAGTGAATTTGATTCTGATGTGTCAGAATCTGGAGATTTTTCTGTCAGTGATGCAAGTGTATTTGATTCAGATCTGTCAGAATCTGAAGGGACTTCTGAGAGTAATGTAAGTGAATTTGATTCTGATGTATCAGAGTCTGAAAGGGCTTCTGATAGTGATTTAAGTGAATTGGATTCCGGTGTGTCAGAGTCTGAAGGGGTGTCAGATAGTGCAAGTGAATTATCTGAGTTTTCTGAGAGTGATGCAAGTGAATTTAATTCTGATGTGTCAGAATCTGGAGAATTTTCTGTCAGTGATGCAAGTGTATTTGATTCAGATCTGTCAGAATCTGAAGGGACTTCTGAGAGTAATGTAAGTGAATTTGATTCTAATGTATCAGAGTCTGAAAGGGCTTCTGATAGTGATTTAAGTGAATTGGATTCCGGTGTGTCAGAGTCTGAAGGGGTGTCAGATAGTGCAAGTGAATTATCCAAGTTTTCTGAGAGTGGTGCCAGTGAATTTGATTCAGATGTGTCAGAATCTCAAGAGTTTTCTCACAGTGATGCAAGTGTATTTGATTCAGATCTGTCAGAATCTGAAGGAATTTCTGAAAGTAATGTAAGTGAAGTTGATTCTGATGTATCAGAGTCTGAAGGGGCTCCTGAGAGTAGTGTAAGTGAAGTTGATTCTGAAGTATCAGAGTTTGAAAGCACTTCTGATAGTGATGTAAGTGAATTGGATTCCGCTGTGTCAGAGTCTGAAGGGGTAACAGATAGTGCAAGTGAATTATCTGAGTTTTCTGAGAGCAATGCCAGTGAATTTGATTCTGATGTGTCAGAATCTGGAGATTTTTCTGACAGTGATGCAAGTGTATTAGATTCTGAGATGTCAGAATCTGAAGGAATATCTGTGAGTAGTGTAAGTGAAACTGATTCTGATGTATCAGAGTCTGAAAGGGCTTCTGATAGTGATTTAAGTGAATTTGATTCCGGTGTGTCTGAGTCTCAAGGGGTATCAGAGAGTGCAAGTGAATTATCTGAGTTTTCTGACAGTGATGCAAGTAAATTTGATTCTGATGTGTCAGAATCTCAAGATTTATCTGACAGTGATACAAGTGTATTTGATTCAGATCTGTCAGAATCTGAAGAAATATCTCAGAGTAATGTAGGTGAAGGTGATTCTGATGTATCAGAGTCTGAAAGCGCTTCTGATAGTGATGTAAGTGAATTGGATTCCAGTGTGTCAGAGTCTGAAGGGGTATCAGAGAGTGCAAGTGAATTATCCGAGTTTTCTGAGAGCGATGCCAGTGAATTTGATTCTGATGTGTCAGAATCTGGAGATTTTTCTGACAGTGATGCAAGTGTATTAGATTCTGAGATATCAGAATCGGAAGAAATATCTGAGAGTAATGTAAGTGAATTTGATTCAGATGTGTCAGAATCTCAAGATTTTTCTGACAGTGATGCAATTGCATTTGATTCAGATCTGTCAGAATCTGAAGGAATATCTGAGAGTAATGTAAGTGAAGGTGATTCTGGTATATCAGAGTCTGAAGGGGCTCCTGAGAGCAGTGTAAGTGAAGTTGATTCTGAAGTATCAGAGTTTGAAAGCGCTTCTGATAGTGATGTAAGTGAATTGGATTCCAGTGTGTCAGAGTCTGAAGGGGTATCAGATAGTGCAAGTGAATTATCCAAGTTTTCTGAAAGTGGTGCCAGTGAATTTGATTCTGATGTGTCAGAATCTGAAGATTTTTCTGACAGTGATGCAAGTGTATTAGATTCTGAGATGTCAGAATCTGAAGGAATATCTGAGAGTAATGTAAGTGAAGTTGATACTGATGTATCAGAGTCTGAAAGGGCTTCTGATAGTGATTTAAGTGAATTTGATTCCGGTGTGTTTGAGTCTCAAGGGGTATCAGAGAGTGCAAGTGAATTATCTGAGTTTTCTGAGAGCAATGCCAGTGAATTTGATTCTGATGTGTCAGAATCTGGAGATTTTTCTGACAGTGATGCAAGTGTATTAGATTCTGAGATATCAGAATCTGAAGGAATATCTGAGAGTAATGTAAGTGAATTTGATTCTGATGTATCAGAGTCTGAAAGCGCTTCTGATAGTGATGTAAGTGAATTGGATTCCGGTGTGTCAGAGTCTGAAGGGGTATCAGATAGTGCAAGTGAATTATCTGAGTTTTCTGAGAGCGATGCCAGTGAATTTGATTCTGATGTGTCAGAATCTGGAGATTTTTCTGACAGTGTTGCAAGTGTATTAGATTCTGAGATATCAGAATCTGAAGGAATATCTGAGAGTAATGTAAGTGAATTTGATTCTGATGTATCAGAGTCTGAAAGAGTTTCTGATAGTGATGCAAGTGAATTTGATTCCGGTGTGTCTGAGTCTGAAGGGGTATCAAAGAGTGCAAGTGGATTATCTGAGTTTTCTGACAGTGATGCAAGTAAATTTGATTCTGATGTGTCAGAATCGGAAAGGACTTCTGACAGTAATGAAAGTATATTAGATTCTGAAGGAATATCTGAGAGTAATGTAAATGAAGTTGATTCTGGTGTATCAGAGTCTCAAGAGAATTCTGTTAGTGGTTTAAGTGAATTTGATATGTCAGAGTTTGAAGGGGCAAGTGGATTATCTGAGTTTCCTGAGAGTGCTGTAAGTGAATTTGATATGTCAGAATCTGAAAGGTTTTCTGACAGTTATGCAAGTAAATTTGCTTCTGATGTGTCGGAAGGGGTTTCTGACAGTGATACTAGTGAATTTGCTTCTGATCTGTCAAAATCTGAAAGGATATCTGAGAGTAATATAAGTAAAGGTGATTCTGATATATCTGGGTCTGGCAATGAAAGTCATTTAAGTGAATTAGAGAGTGATGCAGCGGTATTGATATAGGCCACTATGGACCCAATTTTAAAGTATTTTTTTTAGTGTATTGTATTGTTAGTTCCTCCATAAACCAAAGATTTTAGTTGTGAAATGTATCCACTTTTTAAAGATTGTTCCTAAGTAGTATTGTACACAATTTTAAAAATTAATCAACTTTAAAATATGGGTCCATTGTATTTAGCATTTGCTAATAATAGTTAAAATTATAAATTAATACAGATGGAAAAGTCACATCTCTACTTTGCATGAAAACATTACTCAAACCTATACTAATAATGTTGTAGTTTTATGCTTAAAATGAGTTACATTTTTAAAAAATAAGTCCAGATTATTTTTATTTTAATCAATTTGTTTAATAGATTTATATTATTTACTTTTTTCACAAAAGTGAGTCAACTTTTTAAGATTGCTTGACATAATTTTAGACATACAATTTGTACAAATTTGAAAATGGGTTTTTACATACAAAGTGGCTCCACTGTATTTAGCATTTGCTAATAATAGTTAAAATTATAAATTAATACAGATGGAAAAGTCACATCTCTACTTTATAGAAAACATTACTCAAACCTATACTAATAATGCTGTAGTTTTATGCTTAAAATGAGTTACATTTTTAAAAAATAAGTCCAGATTATTTTTATTTTAATCAATTTGTTTAATAGATTTATATTATTTACTTTTTTCACAAAAGTGAGTCAACTTTTTAAGATTGCTTGACATAATTTTAGACATACAATTTGTACAAATTTGGAAAATGGGTTTTTACATACAAAGTGGCTCCACTTTTTAAAAAATGTGTGCACTCTTGAGTGAAAATTCAATGTGAATGTGTTCACATATTATCATTATTATAAGTATAAACATAAAATGATTCGCTTTTAGATGGCCCAGTGGTGCACAATAAGTTAACATTTTTAATTGGTCTATTTTGGTTTAGATTTATACAGTGGTTCTACATTTGTATTTAGATTTTATTCGTAAAACTCGTCCACTTTAAAAAAATATGGTCTACTTTTTAAAACATGGGTCAACATAACATGGGTCCATATTTATGTCCTTATATTTTATGCATGAAAATGTCCACATTTTTAAAGTGTGCAAGTAAAATAATATGTGTCCACTTTTTAGACATACGTCCACAGTAGATACAATTATATCTAGATAAAAAGGGTCCACATTATTTAGTTTTAGGCACAAAACATGTCCACAATTAGAAGATTCAAGATGGGTTTAAATTAGTTAGATTTTACGGTCTTACAATACATTAAAAAATAGTTATGTATAAATTGGGTTTCCATTTTTTTGCGTGTAAATGGGTCCACTCTTTAAAACATGTGTCCACTTTAAATACAGTACAACCTTCAATTTAAGACCCTGTAATTCCAAGAACACTTCTGCAGAAGTACCAACAATCTCAATCTTTTAGGGGACTCTAAATGGAGACTGAGACACCACCACATTTTCAGGTCTCAAATGTGGTCGCCAGTTGAAGAGAAAACTGTAGACAGTTCAATTGTAAATGTTTTTTTTAGACATGAAATGTCTCCAAGTGTTTTTACATTGCTCCACATGTTTTTTAAAGGTCCACAATGTTTTGTTGTATAATTGTACACTTTTTAAAATGAGTCCTCATTATTGTGTGTTTTTAACCCTTTCCAGTCTGCCCTATTACCATTGCCTGAGGCTGTACCAAAGCTGGGAAATTACATCATCTATACCAAATGTCGGGTTTTTACTGAGCACAGGCATTTTATTTGGTCTAAATACAGGAGGCCCTCTACAGAAATACTTCTACATCACAATCAAAAAATCCTATAGAGGGCAGCCTAACTATAATATGATTATCATGAAAGCTATACAGGGCATACGTACAACACCCCTCACTATAAAGTATGGCCGAAGAGTGCGTCATCGCGATGCCATACGACTGGAAAGGGTTAAAATTGGTCTGAAAAACGATGAGCTCTTAAATTATTTATTGACACTAAAGCCCATGAGATCATTACGTTTAGAATTGAGTGATTGTAATCGGTTGCTTGTTTACATTTGGATGGCTATATGTTGCTGGACAGGACTATCTTGTTAACTCCCAATGGACATTCTTAGAACAAATTAAGTTAAGTTGATGAAGCTGCTGACAGCTCACTCTCCACCATCTGACAGCTCACTATAGACCAGTTCTGCTAACAGAAACTGTTGCCTCATGTAGGTCCATATTATTTAGTTTTTTTGTATAGATTATGGGTCTCTTTTAAAAGGTCCAATTTTGCTTGTATTTGTAAACTCATTTTAAATTTGTTTAATTGGTCCATAGTATTTAGTCTTTCCAGGTATTTTGAGTTTATTGATGTAAAATATAGTATTATTTTTTTTTTTAATAGGTCATATTTTAAAAAGTAAGGCCACAGCGTTCGTCAATAGGTAAAAAGACAGTTTGTATGGGCCCATCCTGACTGCCCCAATAGCTAGCTACAGTGTTGTGCAAATGGATTTGATGATGCATGAGTGTCTGAAGAACTGGTAGGGATGCAAACAAATTTAATTTTCATCTTTGATTGATGGGTCTGAACAAGTTTCTAACAGCTGTGCAAGTGAAATATCTGAGTTTTCTGAGAGTGATGAAGGTGAACTTGATTATGATGTTTGATCATCAGAAGGGGCTTCTGATAGTGGTTTAAGCTTGCTTCTGATGTGTAAGTCTGGATTTATTATCTGATGTATGGAGGAGTACTGAATGAGTATTTTGTAGTAGAGTAAGTAACCATAATGCTAATAATGTTGGAGTAAGAAGAATAGATTAATGATTCTGATGGGTCTGACTCAAAAATAGTGCCTGGTATTTCAAGTGATTATAGTAGAATGAATCTGTTAGTGGTGCAAGTTGCTTTGTGTCAGAATTCCAAGTTACAGTACTTCTAAGAGTGACGAAAGAGAATTTGATGCTGAGTCCAATAGCAGTTCTAGATTCTGATATTATCTCTGAATATAAAGAACTGGAAATCAACAATACCTGTTAACAATGGACAAGATAATATGACAAAGGATTTTTATTACATCGACACAGTGCAGACTTTGTCAACATTTTAGCGAAAGATGCAAAAAGGGACTATGTTGATGAGACATTTGTAGATTATGATTACTGATGTAGTTCAAGAAGTATCAGGATATTTGATGGTTTCCTCTCTTGAAAGTGAAAATAACTCTTTTTACTTGGACTATAAAAGTCAATCAAAATAGCCACAGAATTTGTGACAGAAATAATGCATGATATACTAATAATGGTAGAGGTTTTTAACACAGTGTGATGAAACAACTGCACCACCACCAGCACCAACAGAAATCACTAGTGAAATAACAAACTTTACTATGGTTTCTGATGAAGACATCAAAGTAACGGTAAATCTATACTTATCTTGTAAGATCGTATAAGAAGAGAGTATGCCTGTGGTTGGTAAAGATGTTTGTAATATTTTTCCCTCAGTGAATTAATTAACAGCTAAACAGAAACAGCTAAAGCTTATATGCTTCGAGTAAAATAAATATATAAAGAATTTAACTGACTTGGCTACTCACATGGTCTGATTATATTTATATTAATCTAACAAACAAAATGTGTAAAAAAATTGTACTTCTGTTGGAATCAAACAAATGTCCTCTGGAGCACAGCGTCAGTGCTTTCTGTAATCTTAGCTAAGCTGCCTAAAGTTGGCAGAGGTTGTCCTTGGTGCATCCTTAAGAAGAACCTATTTCATCTCCAGTCAAATATATCAGGAACAGCCCCCATCTCTCAACCTGAAAGTACATCAGTGAAATTTGATCATCAGATAGTAGAAAAGAGGCCACTGGTTTGGTTCCTGCAGAAATATTTTCAATTTTTTTTCCCTCCACCATATAATAATGGTTACAAATTGTAAGCCAATAATTTTCTCTCTATTTAAAACAAAAAAAATGCATGAAATATCAAAATTAACTAAAATCTAATATGCACAAATGAAAAATGCTAAAAATATTTCAAAAGCAATATTTTAATTTAATGATGGGATTGGAGCAAATATGGTTAAAATTGATTCTAAAAATAATACAGTGGTGGATTCATGATGTATGTTTGTAGAGGACAAAGAAATGAGAAAGAAAAAAAATACCATTCTTCCTTATTTTGAAGCTGTCTAAATCACTCATTCTTATTTGTGAGGCTTTGCCACAAAATTAGACACATTGTTGATGAGAACGTGTTCAGATAATCTCCTAAAATTGGTTATCATTTTTCAACAAAGTGATTAATTTTGTGGCAAGACCTCACATTTAGTAATTCATATTTGTTCTCATTGCATGTACAAAGTTTTAAATTATCTTCATTTCAAAGCAATTCATATTTTTCTCACAGCATGAAAATAATTCAACTATCACTCTTTAAAGCATGATTCACATTTTTCTTTTGGCGTCTGTCATTTGAATCTATTTCTATCTCACTCTTAATGTTCATGCAAGGAGGTATATAAATAATGAGTTATGTACCTCCTTGGTTCATGCATGCATTAGTTAATAGTTTACTTCTTTTTTTTTAAACAAATTCATAATATTTTATTAAAAAAGAATATAAGATGATGGTCATGGTTGATTTTTGTCACCATTTTCCATCAGTAAATACATGAAATACAGTATTGATTTGATCATAAGTGTGTCACAACCATCACACAAATTGCACTAAACACCCTAACCACTGAACAAGGTGTCAGTTAAAATGTACCCCAGTACACACCAATTGATTTACAGATTTATGAGTCACAAGATTTATAGGTCTTATCCTTAAAAAATTAACCCAAAATGAAACCATCAAACAGATTTTGAAAGTTTTCTTATTTTCACAAATTTAAATTATCTTGAAATATTTCGTTAGGGGGTTTCACTCCAAACCATTCCTCCAGCAATGACAACGTTTGCCAAGGATTCAACTGACACCATGGATGAGGTGACTACAATGTCAGCCAAGATTGGAACAGATGCACCAGAGATGACTACACAAGTTTTGACAACTGTAAGTCAATCATTTTTATATTTTTAATACTTTATTTTTAATAGTTATTATCATTGCCAACAAGTTTAATTTAAAATGTAGAAAAAAGCTTATTTTTTTTACATTTTAAATTATATTTTTCTAAATTCTAATTTTATATTTTAACATAAAATCTAATGACAAAAAAGTATTGATGTTTTGAGTACATGGATACATTTTCAAGATCAAGTGAACAGCAATAATTATAAAATAAAAAAATCCAAAGTAGGTAGAATTGAAAAAGTCATGCAATTAACACCTTATATAATACTGTAATTATGTTAATAGATAGGGTGTCACATAAGTAATTTTCTCCATGTTAGAGTAATTTGTTTGTATTAAACTGTTTCGCTTTTGTTTTACTCTAGCATGGAGATAATTAACATTATCACAATTTTTTGCCTCCTGCTTATAGTATTATACTGTAGGCCAAATTGTGGAAGTCATATTCCTGGAGAATCTGACATGCAAGTCTGACACGGATTTGCGATGCTTGTACTAACTAAAACGCATGTACAACTCAGTACAAACATTTACAAACTTATTGCCATACTATAAAACCAAATAGGCTTGGGCAGGTTTAAGTCACTCTTAATACGTTAATGCTTCCCAGGCGGTTTGATAAATCTTATGTCTGCCTTATTGTCTGCATAAGAATGGGAAACTATGTTAGACTAAGCCCTATTTGTGAAAATTAGTTAAAATCCTGGAGAAATACAAATTCCGGGAGAAAATGTAGAGTTTCTTGGAGAGAACCAAAATTCCTTGAGACTCAATTTTAATGGCACCAATGAAGTTTCATTGGCTCAACATACTAAGTTACAAGAAGTGTAACTACCGGTACAATTAATTCATCTTGTTGATCAAAGTAAACCCATTAAAATACCCATATATTTATATAAATTTCAATAGATAACTTTAGTATTGGAATTCAAATCGAATTTAATGTTTCTTATCAAATAGGAAATTTCAAGCTTTGAAAATTCAACCACACCACCTCCTCTACCACCCCGTTCAATCTCACCACCTCCTCCACCACCACCACCCCCACCACCACCACCAACATTTGAAATGAGGCAAAATGAGACAACAGAAGAAGTAACCACTGAAATGACAGAGATGGTAACAGATGAATTCGTAACTGAAATGATGCCAACTGTGAGTAATCAATTTCTAGACCCATTCAAGTGAGAGTCACATTGGGTCATGCGTTAATCATGATGACCACTTCTGCCAATAAAGAGGTTATGGACACAGACATAAGCTTTCTCTACTCTCTAATGAATGAGAAAGAGCAAAATTTTTCATATGTAAACTTTCATGATGCCTACTGTAGTGGTACACAAATTAAAAGTTTTACATCTTGATTTTTTGAAATTATGTTATTTATTAATGTCTTCATATAGGAAATTCCAACCTTAATTAATTCAACAACACCCACTCCACCACCTCCACCTACCCCACCCCCACCACCACCACCAACAACATTTGGAATGAAGGAGAATAAGACAGAAGAAGTAACCACTGAAACAACAGATATGGTGACAGATGAAGTTGTAACTGAAGTGATGCCAACTGTGAGTAATTATTTTGTTATTTTTTTAAAATTTCAATTACATTCAACTGCGGTATTGCCCATTACAGGATGTCTTAAAATACACAATATATTTAATGCTAGATAACATGCAATATAAAACATTATTTCCCATTAATCCATTTAAATGACAGAGTCACACTTGGACATGTGACAGTTACATTATTTAGTATCATTTTATGAATTACAATTTCAAACTAGATTTGAACTTGTCACTGAGGACGAGTTTGGTGATCCGCCGTACTTTGACCCTCAGGAGGCGCGCGCGGTGCTGATTGAAAAGTTTCATAATATGCTAAAATATGCTGTAATTAGTTTTTAAAAAAAGAATAATTTTGAGCATTTTAAAAGACTTACGCATGCGTACGCCTTGATGACCGTGAGCACTGTAATTGCACAAAGACTGACTCCTGATATGAATACAGTGTCAGGAACACAAAATATGTAACAAAACGTAATTACTAGCTTTAGTACGTGCTGTGCGCGTGGAAATGAACGTACCGTACATAAATTATGGTAAGTTTTGGAATGCTAAAAATGACCTGAAACGTTCTTTAAACTATCTGAATATTGATATTGAGAATTTTGAAATTTTAACACACGCGCATGTCACAATGTGTCCGTGTACGGTAATGGCACACGAAATTAAACATTGTCAAGTGTTTTTAAAACCGCCTGTTGGTAATGCCACACAAATTTTCCCTTCATATGACCTATATCAGTCTGATAGCGTCGAAATACAATCTGCCGCCCTCTCTGTATTGTAATTTTCTTTTTTTTTTTTACATCTTTTAAGCATGTGAGATAAATATGATTCAGAAATGATGAATGGTTAAGATGAAATGGGCTCATCAACGTTTTAAGGAAAGAAAGATGAGGGGGGTCAGAAAAAATATTTTTTCTGACCATGATGACATCATCAAAATGTAAAAAGAAGTCATATATATGAAAGAGAATTGTCTTGGCTATAACATACTCAAAGTTGGAAGACGATCGATCAAGGATAACTGAGATACGCTTAAATGCGTATTTTAAAAAATGACGTCATCGATAAAAATCAGTTTTGTTGAATTCAGATGGCAATATGATGACGTCACAATGTCCGATCAGCCATTATGATCTAAAAAATCATATCTACAACTCATGTGCTTTCAGAATATGTAATAAAAATTGGGGTCACCTTTCAAACTAAGGAGCTATAACTGATTAAAAATAGGTCTGATTTTAGCATAATTTCACTGTATAGCGGCACAAATACGCGCAAAGATACCTATGTTTGATGCGCACGTACGGTATTGCTATTGGCCAAAAGATGACCGAAAAGAATGGAAATTTGTGAAAACAATTTCAGGAACCCAAAATATGTAAAATAACGTAATCTATAGCTTTCGTACGTGCTGCGCACGTAAAAATGCGCGCGTAGTGGAAAATTTCAAAAAAATTTGAAATGCTCAAAATGGCCTAAAACGTTCTCTAATTTAGTCAAAAAGTGATTTTGAGCATTTTGAAATTTTGACGCACGTGTACGCGCGCGTAGTGAAGTGCACACGTAAAATTATGGTATGGTACATTCAACATTAACCCGACGTTAATGCTCACTTAATACAATTTCGAAATTTCAATTGGTTAGGCTGATATGATCGATAATGTAAAAACGCAAAATTGCGCGTAGATGACGTCACGCATGACTGAGCTTACTATGACTATTCCAGACCAAGCCAAATGTTCGTTGACAGCGATTGTGCGTAACTTGTGGCATTTTTTGAGATATCGTGCGAACAGAAAAGGGGAGAAAGAAAGAAGAATAAAAACTAGATTTGAACTCGTCACTGAGGACGAGTTAGGTGATCCGCCGTACTTTGACCCTCATAAAGCTCACGCGGTGCTGATTGAAAGTGTCATAATATGCTAAAATATGCTGTAATTAGTTTTTTAAAAAAGAATAATTTTGAGCATTTTGAAAGATTTACGCATGCGTACATGTACGTCTTGACGCCCGTGAGCACGGTAATAGCACAAAGAGTGACTCCTGATATGAATAATGTGTTAGGAACACAAAGTATGTAACAAACGTGATTTCCAGCTTCAGTACGTGTTGCGTGCGTCGAAATGAACGTATGGCGCGTAAATATGGAAAGTTTTGGAATGCTGAAAATGACCCGAAACGTTCTTTAAACTATCTGAATAGATAGTGATATGGAGAATTTTCAAATTTTAACAGACGCGCACGTCACGATGTGTGCGTGTACAGTAATGGCACACGAAATTAAACATTGTCAAGTGTTTTTAAAACCGCTTGTTAGTTAGTAATGCCACACAAATTTTCCCTTCATATAACCTGTAAATATCAGTCTGATAGCGTCGAAATACAGTTTGCCGCCCTCTCTCTGTTCTATCTCTTTACATCTTTTAAGAATGAGAGATAAAAGGGCTCCAAAAATTAATTCCTTTTGAACATGCTGACGTGATGAAAATGTAAAATAAAGGGACACGTCTGAAAGAGAATTGATTTAGCTATAATATACTCAAAGGTGGGAGACAATCAATCAAGATAAGCGAGATACGTTCAAACGAGTATGAAAAGTAGTAACGTCAGTTTTTTCTTAATTTAAATGGCAATATGATGACGTCACAATGTCCGATCAGCCATTATGATCTATAAAATCGTATCTACAACTCATGTGCTCTCAGAATATGTAATAAAAATTGGGGGTCACCTTTCATCCTAAGGAGTTATATTTGATTAATTATAAATAGGCATAATTATAAGCATATGCAATATTTTACGCACACGTACGCGCACGTTCAGACGCGCAAACAAAAAAGTAAGATACCTAACATTCAACCTTGACCTGAAGTATATAAGCCCATTTAATATTATTCAGAAATGATGAATGGTTAAGATATGACGTCATCAACGTTTTGAGAAAAGAAATATAAATTGTTTCTTGTTTTTTAATTCAGATGGCAATATGATGACGTCACAATGTCCGATCAGCTATTATGATACATAAAATTATATCTACAGCTCATGTGCTTTCAGAATATGTAATAAAAATTGGGGGTCACCTTTCATCCTAAGGAGTTATAACTGATTTTAAAAAAGACATGATATAAAGCATATTTTAATTTTGACGTATGCGAACGCTCGCGTTATTACGCGCGCACAAAAATATAATGTTCATAACATTTAACCATGACCTGAAGTTTATGCCCACTAAATATGATTCAGAAATCACGAATGATTAATGTGATTATGGGGTCATCAAAGCTTTGACGAAAGAAAGATGAGGGGATAAGCAAAACCCTATATTTTAAACAATGATGACGTCATCGAAATGTAAAAAAGTGTCACATATAGGAAAGAAAATTGCCTCAGCTATAACATACTCAAAGTTGGAAGACAATCGACCAAGAATAAGCGAGATACGCTCAAATGCGCATTTTTTTAAATGACGTCATCGATAATACTCAGTTTGTTGAATTCAGATGGCAATATGATGACGTCATAATATCCGATCAGCCATTATGACCTATAAAATCATATGTACAACTCATGTGCTTTCAGAATATGTAATAAAAATTGGGGGTCACCTTTCATCCTGAGGAACTATAACTAATTAAAAATAGGTACAATTTTGACTCATTTTGACTGAAAATAGACAACAACGCGCAAATTACTCAAAAAGAATGCAAATATGTCATTACAGTGTAAGAAACTCAAAATATGTCAAAAATTGTAATTTGAATCATCTGCACGAGCTGCGAGCGCGAAAATGCGTGCGCGACCTAAACATTTGTGAAAAAGTTGAAATGCTCAGAATCAGCTGAAACGTACACAAAACGTGATTTTGAGCAAATATAATTTTTAGCGCACGCGTACGTGTGCGTAATGAGCTGTAATTCGGACAGTACTGCGCATATGGATAGTACTTGACATGAAGTATACCTGTGTGAAGTTTCAACAAAAGAGGCCTAACGATGGTTAAGTTATGATCAATCAAAAAATTTGCTATGTAAAACGCAAAATTGTGCGTAGATGAAGTCACGCGTGACTGATCACACTCAAAAGCTTATTGTATCGATTCCACCCCAAGACTAATGATTGTTGAACATATCATGTTGATCGGTTGAAGCAATCTTGAGATATCGTGGTCACAAAATTTGGAAGAAAGAAAGAAGAAAAAGAAAGAAAAAAAAAGAAAGAAAGATTCTGACAATAATAAGAGGTGATCCGCTAATGTTAGCGGATCACCAAAAAGAAGATAAGATGATGATGATGATCCTGACAATAACAAGAGGTGATCCGCACTAGATGCGGATCACCAAATAGGACTAAACACCATTACACACAAGACCAGAGTATATTCACAATTTGCATTTGGCCTGCTCTTTAATAAAAGTGTTAGAACAATAAAAAAGATTAGCATAGTAGGATGTACAACACAGGAGGGCGGCCCGCGGGCCGCATGCAACCCGACAGCGATTTTTTTTGTGGCCCGCTAATATGAAGTAAAAACCCTATGTGTGTGGCCTGCCAAGCAACATTGGCTAGAAAACACCTTGTTTTTTACGGCCTGACACCGATCACATGTAAAAAGTAATATTAAAACCGGGAATAAAGTGGTGTAAAAGCAGTGCTTGGAGGTTTTTAGAAGCGCACTGGAGAGATCAAAGTTTGGGTGCAGCCCTCTGTGTTAAATCAGAAATTCACTTTGGCCCTCTAACCGATTTTTATGCCCACCCCTGATGTAGAACAAGTACTGTAGAACATTAGATTTTATGAATTATTTTTTTTTGTTTATAGGAAATTCCAATCACAGATAATTCAACAAGACCCACTCCACCACCTCCACCAACACCACCCCCACCACCACCACCTACAACTTTTGGAATGAGACAGAATGAGACAACAGAAGAAGTAACTACTGAACCAATGGATATGGTAACAGATGAAGTTGTAACTGAAGTGATGCCAACTGTGAGTGATCAATTCATAACTAAATTTTTAAGTACAGTCACATCGTATCATGTGACAGTGATTCAGTATCGTGTTATCATAGTCATTTATTTTGCCTTCAGCAAATTAACAAATAATACATACAGAAAAGACTACTTAGCACGATATTTCAAAAGAAAAACGTGACTTTTGCTGTCTAAAATAGGTTGAAGTCAAAAACCACAAATAATTAACACTTTAGATATTGAGCATGTCTTGTATATTTTTAAAATATTTACACTACATTATGCATATTGCAAGCGGAATCTTTGTATGTGGACATTTATTTGATGAAGCAACAGAATTATTGTACAGGTTATGGAGTACTTTAGTTACCCATGTAAACTTGTGGGTGAAGATACAAGGTCTTACCAAAGACAAAATTGAAATGGATAGAGTGGATTTTGAGTTCCAATTTTTAGGTCTATCCACAAACCATAACTTCTGTGTCAATCTCTCTCCACAATTAGGTTGTGTTTGAGTTTAATAACCTGCCTCTTGGAATAATAGAGTTGTGTCCCTTTTCAAATAGGAAATTCCAACATCAGATAATTCAACAAGACCTACTCCACCACCTCCTCCGACACCACCCCCACCACCACCACTCACAACATTTGGAATGAAGGAGAATGAAACAGAAGAAGTAACCACTGAAACAACAGAGATGGTGACAGATGAAGTTGTAACTGAAGTGATGCCAACTGTGAGAAATCAATTCATAACTAAATTTTTAAGTACAGTCACATCGTATCATGTGACAGTGATTCAGTACCGTGTTATCATAGTCATTTATTTTGCCTTCAGCAAATTAACAAATAATACATACAGAAAAGACTTCTTAGCAGGATATTTCAAAAGAAAAAAGTGACTTTTGCTGTCTAGGTTTAAGTCAAAAACCACAAATAATTAACACTTTAGATAGTGAGCATGTCTTGTGTATTTTTAAAATATTTACACTACATTATGCATATTGCAAGCGGAATCTTTGTATGTGGACATTTATTTGATGAAGCAACAGAATTATTGTACAGGTTATGGAGTACTTTAGTTACCAATGTAAACTTGTGGGTGAAAATACCAGGTCTTACCAAAGAAAATATTGAAATGGATAGAGTGGATTTTGAGTTCCAATTTTTAGGTCTATCCACAAACCATAACTTCAGTGTCAATCTTTCTCAAATTAGGTTGTGTTTGAGTTTTAATAACCTGCCTCTTGGAATAATAGAGTTGTGTCCCTTTTCAAATAGGAAATTCCAACATCAGATAATTCAACAAGACCTACTCTACCACCACCTCCTCCTCCAACACCACCCCCACCACCACCACCACCCACAACATTTGGAATGAAGGAGAATGAAACAGAAGAAGTAACCACTGAAACAACAGAGATGGTGACAGATGAATTTGTAACTAAAGTGATGCCAACTGTGAGTTACAATCAATTCATAACTAATTTTTTAAAATCCCACATCACAACTTCTGTGTGTCTTTCAAACTAGGTTGTGTTTGAGTATAATAAAGTGCCTCTTGAAATAATATTAGACTTGTCTCTTTTCAAATAGGAAATTCCCACATCAGATAATTCAACAAGACCTACTCCACCACCTCCTCCTCCTCCGACACTACCTCCACCACCACCACTCACAACATTTGGAATGAAGGAGAATGAAACAGAAGAAGTAACCACTGAAACAACTGAGACGGTGACAGATGAAGTTGTAACTAAAGTGATGCCAACTGTGAGTTACAATCAATTCATAACTAAATTTTTAAATCCCACATCACAACTTCTGTGTGTCTTTCAAAGTAGGTCGTGTTTGAGTATACTAAAGTGCCTCATAAAATAATATTAGACTTGTGTCTCTTTTCAAATAGGAAATTCCAACATCAGATAATTCAACAAGACCTACTCCTCCACCTCCCCCTCCACCGACACCACCTCCACCACCACAACCAACAACGTTTGAAATGAAGGAAAATGAGACTGAAGAAGTAACCACTGAACCAACAAAGATGGTGACAGATGAAGTTGTAACTGAAGTTATGCCAACTGTGAGTAATCAAATCTTAGTTAAACAATCAAGTGACAATATACACTGGGTCATGTGAGAGTCACACGATTCAATATCATGTAACACAAACATTTGAATTTGCCTCTTGGATAATGGAGTTAATCAATCAAGTTACAATACATATTGGGTCATGTGGCAGTCACATGATGTGGTAACATTTATGTACCATAATTATCATTTTGAATTACGTGCCTTTTGGATAATGGAGTTGAGTCTGTATTTTCATATAGGAAATTCCAACCGTAGATAATTCAACAAGACCCACTCCACCACCTCCTCCTCCACCAACACCGCCTCCACCACCACCACCAACAACGTTTGAAATGAAGGAAAATGAGACTGAAGAAGTAACCACTGAACCAACAGAGATGGTGACAGATAAAGTTGTAACTGAAGTTATGCCAACGGTAAGTAATCAACTCTTAGTAAAACAATCATGTGACAATACATACTGGGTTTGTGTTAGTCACATGATTCCAATATCATATGTACCATAATCATTTAAACTTGCCTCTTGGTTAATGGAGTTGTGTCTGTATCTTCATATAGGAAATTCCAACCGTAGATAATTCAACAACTTCCACTCCACCACCTCCCCCTCCACCGACACCACCTCCCCCACCACGACCAACAACGTTTGGAATGAAAAAGAATGATACAGAAGAAGTAACCACTGAAACAACGGATGCGATAACAGATGAAGTTGTAACTGAAGTGCTGCCAACTGTGAGTAACCGATTCTTCTGTAGAAAACAATCAAATAAAAGCCACACTGGGTCATGCAACAGTCATATGATTCAATATCATTTATGTACCATAATCATTATTTCGAATAACTTGCCCCTTGAATAATGGAGTTGTGTCTGTATCTTTATATAGGAAATTCCAACCTTAGATAATTCGACGAAACTTACTCCACCACCTCCAACCCCCCCACCACCACCAACAACGTTTGGAATGAGGCAAAATGAGACAGAAGAAGTAACTACTGAAACGACAGCGGTGGTGACAGATGAAGTTGTATCTAAATTGATGCCAACTGTGAGTAATCAAATCCTATTTAAACAATCAAATATAGTCAGCGACTGGGTCATGTGACAGTCGTATTATTCAATATCATTTATGTTCCATAATCATTATTTTTAGTAACTTGCCTCTTGGATAATAGAGTTGTGTCTGTACCTTTATATAGGAAATTCCAACCATAGATAATTCAACAACATCCACTCCACCACCTCCCCCTCCACCGACACTGCCTCCACCACCACCAACAACGTTTGAAATGAAGGAGAATGAGACAGAAGAAGTAACCACTGAATTGACAGAGATGGTGACAGATGAAGTTGTAACTGAAATGATGCCAACTGTGAGTATCAAATCCTACTTAAACAAACAAGTGAAAATACATAGTGGGTCATGTCGCAGACACATGATTCAATATCATTTGTGGACCATAATTAATATTTTGAATAACTTGACTCTTGGATAATAAAGTCGTGCCTCTATCTTGAAATAGGAAATTCCAAGCTCAGATAATTCAACAGCAACCACTCCACCACCTCCTCCTACACCACCCCCACCACCACCACCAACAACGTTTGGAATTAAGGAGAATGATACAACAGAAGAAGTAACTACTGAAACAACAGATATGGTGACAGATGAAGTTGTAACTAAAGTGATGTCAACTGTGAGTAACCAATTTCTAGTAACAGTCAAGAAAGAGTCACATTTGGTCACATGACTTAATATCATCTATGTATCATAATCCTTCCTTGCCTCTTTTTGCGGAAATGTACCATGATCAGTATCTTAAATAACCTGCTCCTGGGATGTTAGAGTCGTGTCTTTTTCTTGAGAATAAAATTTCGAGACTCACATTATTCAACCAGGGGTGGCGCCAGCGGGAGTGCTGGGGTCCCACATACCCCATCAGGGAGTGCTAGCCCCCCCTCCCCCCGTCAGGGAGAAAAAGCACAATTCATCGGGGAGAAAAAAAAATTATATATATTTTCTACATATCAGTAGACTCTAAAATGGATTAAAATCAGCCTTTGAAACCCCTAAATTGTTAAAATTTTCGGGGGCTTTGCCCCCTGGACCACTTTCGATACCTTTTACTCGAAGCTCGACCACGCCCACATTGCTTTCGTCGGGGAAATCTGACCCCTCGTCTGTGAGTCAAATCAAGGTCTATCACAATTATGAATTCTTACTCAATTTTTTTTTACAGGTTATACCAATTTCTAAGACTTCTAAAACACTTCCTCCTCCTCCACCATCATCTCCTCCACCTCCATCGACAACATTTGGAATTCAGCAGAATGTAACAGAGGAACTAGTGACTGAAAATGTAACAGAGATGGAAAAGCTTGCAACTGAAGCTACTTCTGTAAGAAATGTTTTTACAATTTTTTAATCACTACTTTAAAAACTTTTGAAAGTTTTAAAATGCATTAATAAACTTTTTTGAAAAGTTTTAAAGTATATTTTACTCTTTTTGTTGCTTTGCAGATGTACTCTTCTGTTGAGAGAACAACTTCACCAGAAGTCGACCAAGTGACACAATCTGTGCCAATGAATCCCTCAACTGTTGTTCCACCAGTTGTAACTACAGCTGCTGCTGCGCCAGTTGATCCATGTCTGAGCAATCCTTGCTTAAATAGCGCCACATGTGCTTCTACCGATGACAGGTTCTTTTGCATCTGCACAGATGGATTTACTGGACCACTATGTGAAAGAAGTATGTAGTTTCCATGATTAAGATTAATCAATTTGTCTTTTGAAGTATTTGATCATATAGAAGAATGGTTGAAAAATGTTTGTTGTAACATATCAAGGGACATGATTCAGAATATTAAGAAAAAGAAGGCACAATGGTGGCTTGACTGCAGTTTTTGAATCAATTGTACAACTGGCATAACTGACATATAATGGATGTGCCTTCCTTCAGTATATCTGCTGTTACAAAAAAATAAATGTCTTTATATTGTTTGAAATTCAAACAATAAAACAGTAGGGCCTATTTAACTATTTTATAGTTAGTAATAACAACAGTTCTTGATGCAGAGTTAATTATTTAGTTTCATGAAGTTATTAATGAATTTTATGTTTCATTTTTTAGTGTCTGATCCTTGCAACATGCCAGGAATGGCAACCCATGCATGAATGGTGGTGCTTGTCTAAGCAATGAAAACACAGCTTTTTGTGTATGTCCACTTGACGACAGAAATATGTTTGATTGTATTAAAGTAAATAATCTAGTATAGCCCCCAGATCGGACAACCCCATGCCACTCCTAAAATTCTGCCACAGCCTTCCAGTTAATAAGACAAGTTCTCCTTCAATCCAAGAATAATAAAGACGGAAATTTTGTACCAAACCACCTATAGAAAATACCAGGACTTTAAAAGATCAGTACACCCAATGAAATAACATGATACTGCATGACTAAAATTAACATGTATGACAACCAACATCCCTGTCCACTATACTCTATTTGAGAGACCTTGACCACTCACCTCTCCTGGATGTGGTTACTCTTGCTTCAAACAATATATTCCATGTTACTTTTTTCCTGATTGCAAGTGATTCTTCTTTCTATTTTTTGGGTGTTGTAAACTGTATTTTTACATAATATTTTTCTTATATTTGCAATATTCTTAAAATTAAAAAAAAAAAAAATGGCAGTCTTGAATTCTGTTTATATTTTCCCCCCTAATATCAGGCCTGCAAAAAAAAATTTTTGTGCCTCCCACAATGAATTTTTTTCTCCAAAAATGGCTCTGGGACATTCATGATGCCTCTGACTGCCAGTCACGCGGTCACTTTTTCCAGCACTGCTTACTATACTGGTATACAAGTCTATTGTCACTCACAGTGTGGCTATTATCAGTTATCTAACTAAACTGTGCAAGCTCTCATTTTGATAGAGGACTTTATAATTAATATTTTTTTTTATTCTTTGTACATATAGTTGCACCTTGCGCATCTAATCCTTGCCTGTCAGGAGGAAACTGTGTAGCAGATGAGAATGGCTTCACCTGTATATGTCCACCTGGTTTTACAGGTGACCTTTGTCAAACAGGTATGAGCCTTCATGTGATCTGCAATAGTGGAAACCCACAGTTCAAAGATAAAATAGGTCACTTTAAAAAAATACTTCCAATCAAATTTTAATTATTGAAACTACAGAAACTGCATACTAAATCATTGGATGTCTAATAGTAACCCCACTAATTTACTGTTAAAGTATTTGGTCTTAATATTATACAATACATTTTAAGGTGGGTTATTATTAGAGCACGAGTCACTAAGAGTAGAGTACTGGGTTCCTATTTGAAGTTTTACAGTATGTACAGAACAGGGGGTTGTATTAATAGACCTTATCATTTATACTCTACATTTATTTCTCATTTATTTCATATTCCTCATTCATTTACTTTAAATGTATTACAACAAAAACTGTAGAGATATTTAAATCAAAAGCATGCAAACATTCTTTATGATAACAATGTCAAATTATTTCCTCCATGGTCAAACAACCCTGGAGGCCTTATCTAATGATGACTTAATTGATTGTAAACACCTTTATCTTAATCTTGTAGTGATAAGAGTAAGGAGTAAAGTAGATTTTAATTGCTCTTAATTAGTGACATAAACTAAAGTATGACTTACCATGGAGGAATGGACTTACTAGAGATATAAAGGAAAACCAAGCTGTAGATAGTACTAAAAGTTTTTGTGATTTTTTTCAAGCTTTGGTCACACTGCTGCTTTATTTCCCTATTACAAAGGATATATATTGTTGTAAGTGTTTTATTGGATGTGTTGACTCAGACTACAGTAAGCCACCTTCTTATTTTATTTATAATGTAGTATCACCATGTGAAAGTAACCCGTGCAAGAATGGCGCGCAGTGCACATTTGATTCGTCCACGTTTATCTGCACCTGTGGACTAGGCTGGATGGGACCCACCTGTGAAACTCGTAAGTCTGCTATTAAATCATATTTTTAATTACTTTTGTACCACTTTTTTTAATAGCTTTCACAGAAGATTAATTTTTCTATTTGAACCATGTTTACAGAGAGTGACACTTGCAGCCAAGATGATACATAGACCCACTTCATTGTTATTTACTTTTATTTTTTATATACCTAGTGATGTTACCAAAAAAAAACAAAAAAAAACAACATAATAACGATAACATCAAAATAGAAATAGTATAAATATAGTAGAAATTTCCTAAGCACCACATCTTTGACAATGAATACTGAGAATTGCTAGTTATCCCTAATTTTGTTTTTGTATACAGCGGCAAATGCTTGTGCTCCAATGGTGTGTATGAATGGTGGTGTATGTGATGACAGACAATTCTATGCAGTCTGCATCTGTCCAGCTGGGTATTCAGGTGCCACCTGTGAGATAAGTAAGCGATGTTATCAAGGCTGCTTGGTCTTTTGAGTTTAATTTTACCATTCCACCTGGTTTACCAGTACCACCTGGCATATATTGTGGCTACCTGGTTTAGTCATGGTTTAGTTAGTGCTACCTCCTGCTGAATTTACTAGTGCCACATGGTATTACCATTACTACATGGTAATAGTCCTAATTCGCTTTTACTGTACAATCACAGACCCTATATGTGCAATCTTTACCAGCGCCACCTGGTTTGATCAGTACCACCTGGTATTAGTCACAGTCGAAGCTAGGTGACCTAGCTTTACAAATACCACTTTTTTATTTATCACTGTCACTTAGGTTTACCAGAGCCAAATAGATAACGAGTTCATAGTCTGTACAATATTAGCAGCTATTAAAAGTCTGCAAGCGATTCTAAATGGTGTACAAAAATATTAAATTTTGTTTTGTTATTTGTTATGATGATTCAATAAAGTATCAAAATATTGAATCTTAGCACAATTTCACGTCTTTCCTTGCTATGAGTATGCATTATACTTTGTTTTGTTCTCTTGTACAGTGGCCATGCCATGCGCTAGTGATCCTTGCTTAAATGGTGCCACCTGCTTGGAAGAAGGAGATGAGTTCAGGTGTGAGTGTAGCGGTGGGTTTAAAGGGCCAACCTGTGCACAAGGTGAGAACATCATCAACATCACCATCTTCATTATTATCATCATCATTTCATCATTTAATGTCACTTATGTACTACTACCACCACTTATCTACTACCACCATCATTATCAATATCATTCTCTCCATTATCACTGTCATCACCATCATCATAGTAATTATTGTTGTCATTGCAATCATCATAGTTGTGTACAGTATTATTACCATTATCATTATCTTCAATAATTTTTTATCTCTGTTGTTTTATTTATGAATACTACTTGAATTTTCCATCTTGTTCTCATTTCTTCATTTTTTTTTTCTAATATCCCAGTAGTTATGAAATTAATATATATTTTAACTTTTTGACCTGTGTAGTGGCTGCTTGCTTTAGCAATCCATGCCAAAATGGCGGCGAGTGTATTGAGACAGGCGAGGAATACTCCTGTTTGTGCCCTGCATCATGGAGTGGACAAGATTGCTCTATGCGTAAGTTCAAACATATTCCAAAATTTCATCCGTAATACCTAACTTCATACATCACTAATATTACCCTCAGTAATCATGAAATGATTTTTTTTTTTTATATTTCAGAAAATGATCTTTGTGCACTAAACCCTTGTCGGAATGGTGGGATATGTAATAATCGTGGCACATTTGTGTTTTGCACCTGCCCTGCGGAGTTTAGTGGAATTGATTGCGGAACAAGTAAGTATTGGCGACCATTTTAACAAATGTTTAACCTAAGTGAAAATATTTTGTGCTGAGCTTTTTTTCTGCATTTTTTCTGTCAAAAGTACATAAGATTATGCAGAGAAAACAAAACACAATAATTCGCAGTTGAATATCATAATCTTGCTGTCATTTTATAACTTTAATTGTTAATCCAATTTAAAATTAATCTTTTCAGGAATCACACCAACAGAAGCATTAATTCCAGAACAGCCAACTACTCAAGCTTCACTTAGCTCTGTATCGATGGCACCCCAAACTGAAGCAGGACAGGGAACTATCAAGCCAAGTGTTACAGCTGCTACTCCAGCTGTTGGTATTGTGTCTACACCTAGTGCTACAGACCCAAGTAAGTTGTTACTAACAGGCCTGGTGACTGGCTGTGTACAAAACGTGCTTAATGCACATGTACTCCAGACCTACATACTATGTATAGAATCATGATGGAATAGAAAACCTTGCTGTGTTAAATCTGAATGAGAACATAGTAGACAAACTGCACTTTACAGTCTAATAAATTTTATTGATCCACGATACACAAGCTTTTGACCAGACAGTGATCTTCATCAGGTGAATTGAAAAATAGGATCAAAGTAAGAGGATGGATAATCTATACTATGAAGTTAAATCTGATCTGTGTGGTCTGAAATTTGTGTATCAATAAAAACATTTTATAGTCTGCAAAGTGCTGATTGCCTTCTTTTGACTGTTTTTGTATAGAATGTGAGAATTATCTTTCACTACAGTGTAATTCAGTATTTTTTTTTTTTTTTGAAATATAAAACCTTAGCACAAAATAAAAAAAATAATAATATTAATAATAACATTCAGTTAATAATAATAGTAATAATAATAATAGAAAAAAAATTAGTAATAATAGTAATAGCACAGTAAAAATAATAATAATAATAATAATAATAATAATAATAATAATAGTAAGTAGGAATAATAGTAATAATAATAATAGTATTAAATAATATTTGTTTCATATCTCAGTTGAACCAAGCAACTTTACTCTCGGTGAAAATCCTGGGAGTGACAGCGTCACAATGCGATGGGCTCTTGAGCCAGGTGATAATACTACCGCCATACAAGTAGATGTCCATGAAGTGACTCCATCGCGTCGTCGTAGGAGGCAGGAAAACGAGTACTGGATCAGCTCACCATTATTGCCTGCAAATGTGACTACATACAGCTTGAAGAATTTAAAACCTGACACAGTTTACATCACACGTCTCGTTTTATATGATGCACAAATGAACAAACACTACAGCAAGCAAGTTCCATTCAAAACAGCAGGTAAAAAATGATGATCTGTTTAACTGATTATTTTCACATTATGGTGAATAATGATGAAGTAATAAATGATTAGGCCTATAATTGTGTATAATGAGGTTTTCCATCCCAAAACCAGTGTACTGTCGCTAAATGTTAAACTGAGTAATTAGCATTAGAATGTGGCAGTATTGTGTACTTTAGTACTGAGAAGCCGTTATAATTTTTCATGGAGAATATGAACAAATTAAAAAGTCAATTTTCTTGTTTTGGTCACTGATGCTGGTTTTGGCATGGCAAGCCCCAAATAGATAAGCAAAAATATGAATATGAAGATTAAAGAGTACATTATAATGGGCATCATCACTGTGCTTGTTTTCCTTAATAGTGGCACCCGAGGTAAATGCTGCAGTCGATAATCTAGATTCAGGAACAAGCTCAGAATCTAGCGATATCCTGTTTTACTCCATGATAGCTCTTGCGTTGGTCATCTTAGTCGTCTTTGTTGCCGCCGTTGTTTTTATGACTGTATGTACTGCCAACAACTCTTCATCATACAATCCAGATATAGACAGGTCCCGTCAGAAGTCAGGAAAATTAGTAAGAATATTTTTATTATGTGATGTTCTCATCTAACCAAATATTGAAACTCTTTTTATATTGTACTAGCTTTATAGTGGTAATTAGGCTAATAATTGAATTTTAGAATGCCAGTGTGGGCAAATACAAAGTTATACATGATGCAGTGAACAGTTACACAATATGGTAACAACAACCACTCTATATGTATTGTAAGTCTACACCTCTGCATAAGGATTACACATGTATAAGTCTTTAACTTATGTAAGTCTAAACCTGTTTAAGTGTTACATCTGTGCAGAAATGTGCTTAAAAATGGGTTTAATTATTACTGATGATATTCATCCACTATATTCATTTTAATAGATCAGGCAGGATTTGCCAACCTAGTGTGAAAACAAATAGATGCAAAAACTCATTTTTGCCATATCCCGTCATCTACATAACAAATTATTCACCAGATAGTCTCACCTCTTTTTTCACACCTGTGCAAGTTAACATATGTAGTTCTACACATGTACAGGTCTACACCTATGCAGGTCTACACCTATGCAGGTCTGTACCTGTGCAGGTCTACACCTATACAGGTCTACACCTACTGTACGCAGGTCTATGCAGGCCTACACCTATGCAGGTCTACAGCTGTTCAGGTCTACACCTTTACAGGTCTACACCTACTGTACGCAGGTCTACACCTGTGAAGGTCTACCCCTGTGCAGGTCTACACCTGTGAAGGTCTACCCCTGTGCAGGTCTACACCTATGCAGGTCTACAGCTGTTCAGGTCTACACCTTTACAGGTCTACACCTACTGTACACAGGTCTACACCTATGCAGGTCTACACCTATGCAGGTCTACAGCTGTTCAGGTCTACACCTTTACAGGTCTACACCTACTGTACACAGGTCTACACCTATGCAGGTCTACACCTGCAGGTCTACACCTATGCAGGTCTACAGCTGTTCAGGTCTACACCTTTACAGGTCTACACCTACTGTATGCATTTCTACACCTACTGTACGCAGGTCTACACCTATGCAGGTCTACACCTATGCAGGTCTACAGCTGTTCAGGTCTACACCTTTACAGGTCTACACCTACTGTATGCATTTCTACACCTACTGTACGCAGGTCTACACCTATGCAGGTATACACCTATGCAGGTCTACACATATGCAGGTCTACACCTATGCAGGTCTACAGCTGTTCAGGTCTACACCTATACAGGTCTACACCTACTGTACGCAGGTCTACACCTATGTAGGTCTACAGCTGTTCAGGTCTACACCTTTACAGGTCTACCCCTGTGCAGGTCTACACCTTTGCAGGTCTACACCTGTGCCGGTCTGCGCCTGTGCCGGTCTGCGCCTGTGCCAATCTGCGCCTGTGCCGGTCTGCGCCTGTGCCGGTCTGCGTCTGTGCCGGTCTGCGCCAGTGCCATTCTGCCTGTGCGGGTCTACGCCTGTGCGGTTCGGGTCTACAACTGTGCGGGTCTACACCTGTGCAGGTCTACACCTGTGCAGGTCTACACCTGTACAGGTTAAGTGTTGGTCAACACCTTTGCAGGGTAAACCTCTGCACAACAATTTATTAATGTTAATGTATTCGATTTTACTTCTAGATTATGTTATTGGACAGCTAATGTTAAAGTTGATTTGTCTTTTAGGTGGACATTTCATACGATATTGAAGCCAGCATCGAGACAGTTGAGGTACAACAGATGGCTGTTGAGCCAGATGTTTGGGAGATTCCTAATGGAAAGCTGACCGTGGAAAACGTAAAGGAGTACGGATCATTTACAGAAGTTTGTTACGGCACTTTGGAGACACGAGGCCATGCCAGACCAGTGTTTGTTAAAAAGCTTAGAGGTAACATCCTTAAATGTTTTCTAATGTTGGACAAACAATCACAGCTAAGGGTGTGATTAAATTAAAAGGAAGAGCTTTTTAGATAAATTCCCCTTTCTTTTATGTTATATGTCATTACAATATTCATAATTTTTAAAAAGTACTTATTTTTTACTTTACTTAAGATTTACTTTTCCAGTAGTAGTTATTCTACTTTCATATGGAATTGAAACAAAAAATCATCTCATAGAATTGGAGTCTGGTTTCCATAAAGTAGCTACATGCTATCACTGACAGTTGTTGGTAACTCTCAGTAGTGATTGTATGGGAACCAGAATTTACTTTACAGATGACAGATCTTTATTATGACTAGGAAAATTTCATTCATCAGATTCCTTCTCAGAAGTTGATGTGAAGAAGTTGATGGCTGAACTGGAGATTGTGAGTCATGTTGCATACCACCAGAATATTGTGAATCTAATCGGTGCTATTACTCAAGGTAAAACAACAAATATCAGTAATAATTTATTGATGTATATAAACAAATAAAAACAATCCATTCTGCACTAGAAAATGGGCTGCCACAAATATGTTTTAGGGTCACTAGGTCTTTTTAAATTATATCATTTTTCTGAAAGTTGCTGTAATAAGAGTGCTTTTCACATGCTTTTCTCATGGCAGGTATCATTTTAAATATTGTCCGATGTGCAGTAGCCATCAAAATACACGGAGGACCTTATTACTTTTATTATTACAACATTTTAGGAGAAAATAAAATACAAAGTAAATTTCCAAGTTGGTCCAAGAGGAATTTGCCACCTGGACCCCACCCCCTTACCTCAGCATAATAGTGTGTAACCACATCTTGGAAGTGGGTCATGATTAAATACCTGGGTGATAATTGCTTGGGTGTCAGCCAAAATGTCCCTCTGATGAACCTCTGATCAAAACAATACAGAATTTTGAATTCATAGTGGTACTGTGTCATGTCTTGTGTTACAGATCAGATAAAGCTAGTATTTGAGTACTGTGAGCTAGGTCGTTTGAATGAATGGTTGGTGTCACTACGGGAAACTCATCAGCCCCTTGCAGTTCATGCACCTGGATTTGACCCATTGTCTCCTATAATGCCTCACACTCTGAAAATTGCATCAGATATTGGCAAGGGAATGGCACACTTAGCTTCTATGAAGGTTTGTAATTTTTATTTTATATACACAAAATTATGAAAATAATAGTATAATAATAATTATGTAATAATGATAAGGAATAATATTGATGATTATCATAATGTTCATGACGATAATATAAAATCCAAGTTTGTATTTGTCAATAAATATCTGTTTTAAAAGCAAATGAACACCCATAATGTATTTAATTACCTCCGCCAACGGAGTTGGCAGGAGGTTATGTTTTCGCCTGGTATTTAGCTATTTATTTGTCTGTCAGCATATTTGTTGTGAACAGGCTACTTACAGCCCATAGTTTTTATCAGAAATTCATCAAACTTGGCCACAATGTTCCTTTACCTAAGATCTAGAGCTAATTAAATTTTGAAGGGTCAGGGTCAAAGGTTAAGGTCACAATCAATGAAAAACTATTTTTTTATTTATTTATCTACAGCCCATAGTTTAAATCACAAACTTGTCAAACTTTGTCACAATGTTCCATGACCAAAGATCTCCAAGTATTTGAATGTTGAAGGGTACGGTTTAAAGGTTCAAGGCCACAATCAACAGAAAACGTTTTTTTGAAACAGTTTTTATCAGAAATTTGGCCACAATGTTCTTTACCAAAGATCTGGAAGTGTAAACAAACATGATCCCAAGTAGTCTACTTGTTTTGTTTTTTTTGTTTGTTTTTGTTTTTCTTTCATTATGTTTTTGTATGGGGACAATATGCAGGGAAAATTTATACTGAGGAGAATTATGATGTGGGCTGAGGTATGCACTCTCCAAGTGCCCTCTAGTGTACTTTCAAAATGTTTCATTATTTTTATTGTTTTATATCTTTTTATTCACTTTAAAATTCTTGCTAAACCTTCTTTTATTGTTGAACTTCATTCAGTCTTCATTACTTCTATACTCCTTTAGTTTACCATGTTTCCTTTACCATAATTTTCATAACAGAATTGCTTTAATATCTGCACAACATATAAGATCTCCAAAATACTGTAGCAAAATGTTACTATAAATCATTAATATGTTAAAAACAGCTATTACAGTCCAACAATGGCTATAGTAGTGACAAAGAATTGAATCTAAACACTTTACTCTCGTTTTTACTAACAGTGTACCAAACACAGTCTGGGAGTACGTAATGTCTTGTTGACCAGTGACTTGACAGCCAAGGTTTGTGATTATGGAATGGGTGCTTACACAGATGCCAACTTCTTTGCAGGTGCTAAAGTAGTACATGTAAGTTTATTCAAATTATTGTTTAAAAAAATACTATTGTTATAAAAATTATAATAGTTAAAGATAATATTTACTCAATCAGTTATTCAATTTATAAAAAAATAACAAATAAGGAGAGCACATGCATTATGTTCCATTTTCTCTTTTGATTGGCAGAGTTCTCCACATGCAAGGTGGATGTCCTATGAGACATTGTTGTATAACTCTTACTCTGAGAAGAGTAATATGTAAGTACCTACCAATATATTTGTGTCTATTTCGTGAATACTTACCTGGGTGAACGCCCACCCACCTCCTCCTCGCCAAGATCGATTGTGATCTCAAGGCAAATTGTTAAAATGAAATTGGGCATATTGGTTTATCCAGGTAAGTATCTCACTCATAGACCAACAACATCACTTCTGATTTGTGTGATTTTATGTATTTGTATCATCTTTAAAAATATATATGGAGGATGATAAACAGAATGTAGAATGACACTTATTGTGATTATTCCTTTTTTTTAACCAGCTGGACATTTGGCATTATTTTGTGGGAGATCTTGACATTTGGTGAGTATTAAACTCTTTAATCTTAAAGTACTAGTATTGATCATCTCTGGAAAGAAAAGTGCATTTTTATTTGAACATGCAGTTTTGTGCTTTTGACAAGTGATGTTTTTTCTATAAAAAAAAAATGTAACTATACAATCTTGTCATGGCTTTGGAGTGCATGAGACAAAATCTTGTTATTTACAAGAATTGAACCCTTAATCATGGTCATGGAGGAAAACACTTAACCACCCATCTAGAACTCCACAATTACATTTTGATCTTCATTTAATTTATGGTTCTAATTTTTTTAATCATAGGTGATAAACCCTACAAGGACATTCAGTTGGAGAAGTTCAGAGGCCATCTGAAGGAAGGTCATCGACTTCCTAAGGTGCAGACCATTCCAGCTGATCTGTAAGTAAACTGATTATTATGGTCAAAATTATGGTTTATTGTAGATAGAACAACTTTTGTTGATACAAGATTTTCTGTTATAAAACTTAAGATATATTTATTTATTATTATTATTTATTTATTGTCATTATTATGATTATCATCTTATAGGTACACACTGATGTCGCAATGCTGGAAGCTGCAACCTAAGGAAAGACCAACCTTTGACTACGTCAATGACGTACTGAACAAGCGTTGTGGTAACCTTGACTTACAGGTAATCTCATTTTTATATCCATATACAACACTGGCACACACACACCCACACACATGCATGTGCTGTAACATACGTACATACATTTAACTGTTCCCTGGTACATATGTGTGAGCATACATAACAAATTGCATAACTAGAAACACCTTATATTCCTTTGTCATAATGACCCCAGAAATAATAGAGCACTCTGCTTCCAGCAAATGAGTGCCCTGTATGGCTACAAACTATTAGACGATCTAATCCAAACATGGACTTCTTTATTATGTAGTTTTATTTATTTAGTTTTTTTGTTGTATATCTAGTTGATAAGTGGCCTGATGTTAGCATCATTGATGATGACAAGCAGCCAATATATTTTTTAATCTTGCATTTTCAAAAATTGAAAATTTTTAAAATTGTATAGGCCTTTTTTTGGTTTTCTGCTGTTATGATTGTCTTTCTCTTTTTTTAAAATATTTGATTGATGATAATTCTTCTTTTTTTCGATGTATATATTTATCTCATTTTAATTTTTTAATTGGTCTAATACAGGACCATTTGAAAACCAGTTCATTCTGAAATGTTATCCTGTATAAAGATGTTTTAAACAAATAAAAAAAATAAATAAAAATGTATTTTTATTTATAATCCATGAAATACTCGCACCTAGGTATGAAACACGGTGCAAACCACTTCAAAGCACAGTCCGTCAACAATGCAACCCAGGGTATCTAAGCATGGCAGACCGTGTCGGCGTGTGGTTTGAACTGTTGACCATGATGTTCAGAACCGGAATGGAAAACACTAGAGCTCTAGAGACAATCGGCTGATTGATTAATCTTTTTAGCTCTACTGCATCTGTTATACTGCCCTCATGAGGCTGATTGATTAATAGTTGATTGATTAATAGACCTTTGTTAGCTCTGCTGCCTCTATTATACTGCCCTCATGAGGAGATCTAGAAACACTCGGCTGATTGGTTTAATAATTGATTGATTGATAGATCTTTTTAGCTCTACTGCCCTCATGAGGAGATCTAGAAACACTCAGCTAATTAATTAACAGTTGATTGATTAATAGATCTTTTTAGCTCTACTACCCCTATTATACTTTCGAGATTATGAGAGCTTGTTTTTATAAAAATTAATATTTAAACTTTCATGTTGTATTTGTAGGATCCTGATAGAAGAAAAGAGGTGTTTGAATCACTTGCTACTATTGGTGCAGCTAGTGATCACCTGACTGCTTCTCACATCAAACAGCTTGAGCACCTAACAACTTGCAATATTCAAAATGTGAGTCAATGAGTTGTTTAAATAATGATGATTGTGACGATGATGAGATGATGAAATGATGATGATAATGATGGAGATAATGATGATGGTGACAGTAAAAACTCTGATTGCGGTAGTGACAACAGAAAAAGACAGGACAATGACAAAAGGACATCAGTGCAACCAGGGGCAGATCCAGAGGTGTCCGAAAGGGTGGCTAAAAGAGAGAACACACCACCCTTGGAGGTCCGGGGGAATTTCCCAGCGAAATTGTTGTTTTCTAGACTCCCAAAAATAACCTGAGGCTTTTTGGGTGATCAATTTTTTCTTTTTCTTTCTTTCTTTATTTTTTTAACTTTCCAAAAAGGGGTGCGGGGGTGTGGCCGGGGGTGGGGGCATGTAAATCTTCCCCTGATACAACAAGATGACGACAGGACGGCGACAAAAGCAATGACCACAAAGATGCCAAGACAAAATTGATAATGATGGTAACAAAGACGATGATGGTGCTTGTGATGGATGATGATGACAAATGATAGTGATATTAATAAAAATAAATAGGATGGTGATAATGATACTGATGGTGGTGGTATAATAATGGTGACGTGGTGATTACACTTACATAGAGATGATAATATTGACAATGACTGTAACTATGATGTTTTAATTATGTTTGTGGTGAGGTTAACTTGAATGTGGTAATTTAAATGCCATAATTTTGTTTATTGCAGCCCTGTATTGCCAGTCGCCTGATGGCCATACAGTATGCTGGTACCGTATTCCCTGGTAACCATGTTCCATCTAAATTTGTTCTCCTCCTTGGATGTGGTGATCAGTAAGTAATTTTGGATGTTATGGGCTTCCATTTGAGGGAGATAAGTTAGTTTGGGTGAAATGTGTTTATTTTCAGGACAAAGGTTACTTTGCTAAGGAATGGGTTAATTTGTGAAAGGTGTGGGGGTTAGTTTGCAGGAGTTGAATTTATTTATATTTATTTATTACTGTCAGCTGCCTTTCATCGAAAGACAAGAGGCCATCAGAAAGACAGAGTTGTCCTGATGAATGCATCACCAACTATTTAAATTTTAAATTAAGTTTATAAGAATTTATCGACTGAGTCGGGAATAGGACTGCAATCACGAGTGAAAGTATGCAGACATCTCACCGGCAAGTTTGATGTAGCAGTAGCTTCGGTCTAATGCATTGGATCTGCTACTGCTAGACTGCTAAGGAAGCAGCCTTATTTCAAGTCCGAAGACGTAACGCCTTACTCGAACACACCACACAATCAAATAAAAATAAATACAAACTTACAAATAATTGGTTAATTTGCATAGATGGGTTAGTAGGAAAATTTGTGAGCACTTGCGTGAATGCGGAAGACGTCCAATTTCTAAATGACTCCTACAATTCGCAAAGGAATCAGGATCCTGGATTTTATTGGTTCAGTAATTAACAATTAAAAAATATTGATTGTAATCATAGTTACAGAAGCCATTCATTGTTCTTTTTTCTTTATAGGAATGATACAGTACGTGGTGAAGCGGTGAACATACTTCGTGCCCACACGAAACTGAGCGAAGCGGATGTGACATTGAACCAACCGACTGGAACCTCCATGCCATCATTTCCTGAGATGGTGTTGCACGTGAGGTCAAAGGTAGCTGTAAGTGGGCATTTGGTGAATTTCAGGACAGAAAATTGATAGCACACTCCTCCCTTAATTAAAACGTATTCTATTTTTTATGATAATCTAATTGTTTTACCTTTTTTAATTTTGAAAATCTGGTGGCCTTTTTTCTCTTGGTTCTTTTTTTTTCAAATATATAAAATATTGGTGTATCAAATGACTGGAGTGTGTGTTTGATTTCCTGTGCTGTTGGTAAACTAATTTTAATTTAACTGTTAATTTCGAGTAAATAGTAAATTGTTTCATATAGTTTACAATTTAGTATAATTACTTGTGTTATTTCCCATAGGCTGCAGAAGCGATGAATACACCAAAGCTGAAGTCACAAGGCCCTTTGGGTACCTTCACTATCCCATTCCACCCGAAGTCATTTGAGAAGGTACTGGTCTGTTTTTGATAATGTATAAGCCTATTACTTATTATATATTATTGCGAGTAGGAGTCATTGTCATGAATTTAACAAAACTGTTTTTGTCACCACAAGTACATTATTAAAACTATCATATGTCAATCATTTCTTTCATTTAAAACATGCTTGAATAATATTGTCTGTTTCCTGAATACTTACCTAGATAAAAGCTGACTTTTGCCATTGTTTCTAATGTAAAACTCTAGGTAAATTTTAAGACTGTCCCTCCCAGAGCACCATACTCTATATCCAACCCACACCAACTGCATCTGTATTCCTTTATTGGGTACCCTCACAGATGGGCAATGTGTGGCTTAACCGCCTGTCACAACCCTTTTGTGTGGCCTGTCAACCATCTTTTGCTAGAAAACTCCTTTTATGATGACAACGATCATCTCTAAAAAGTGGGCCTAATATTAAAACTTAGTATAAAATGGTATAAAAGCAGTACATAAAGGTTTTTGCTTGCTATTATTTCATCAATGGTTGTGTAAACATTTTTCACTAACATCACTGCTGATTTGTCTTTCTTGAAGATATCTGTTTACTTAAGAATGTGCTTAGCATATTCTGCTGGAGTAACACCAAATGTAACCACAATTGAACAAATGCAGAAGCAAGGCACAGCACTTCATACATACATTGAAGTCCTTCTACAGAACTATAGTGGGAGTCCACACAACCCTCTGATGACTTACCTCGGCCTACTTAGGCAGTATGTTTCAGCTATTGGAGGTGGGCCTGCCATGCTCAGGCTGCTGGAGCTTGCATCTGTTGCTCCTGGTAAAGTTGGGCCCGAGTTTGCTGCCAAAACAGAACATTTAAAGGTAATATGATACAACTTTTTTATTGTTCTTTCTTTAGTACTACAATATAACCCAAAAAAGTGTCCTTAATAGCAGTGTCCTCTGAATAGGGGTACTCCTATTTAGGGGACACTGACCAAAAGTGTGAAATTGTCCCCTTAATAGGGGTTTTTGGCATAGTTTTTATGCAATTTTGACAAAGATTCTTTGTAAGTATATTTTAATTGGCCTAAGAATGATTTACAATTGTATTATTACTAATTAATAACAATAATTTTCAATGTAAAAACAATTCATTGTGATATGAAGTAAGAGAAATGTTATTAAAATAACAAAAGTTGTATGTTCCCGATATTTTTTCATGATTCGAGTGCAATGTTAATAACCAAATATTCTTTTTTTTAATTTGAGCTTTCTACTGGATGTACAAGGTAGAATAGCATAGAGTAACAACTGAAAATCAGGGTGCAGGCTGTAATGTATATACATTAAACAAGAAATCCCCATGGTTAATGGTCAAAATTAAAAGATTGTATTATACAAAGTACAGAAACACATGCACTAGTCCAAAATTTTTGTATTATACAAAGTACAGAAACACATGCACTAGTCCAACATACCAACGTCCATTCTAGATATTGAGAGGAAAAATCTGGTTTGATGATTAAGTTTATGGCTCAAAAGATGTCAAAATATAAATTTGAATGAATTTTTACACTACTGTAGTTTGTTTGATACTATAAAAAAAAGTGTCCCCTTACTAGAGGTTAAAATGTATTGATTTTACCATTTGGCACAATCAGAAAATGTCCCCATCCCCTTAATAGGCATGTCCCCTTAATAGGGGTTTGCTGTAGTGTTAAAAGATATATTTCCCCTCATTTCACATGAAAGTGTCCCCTTAATAGGGGTGTCCCCTGAATAGGGGTGTCCCAAAGAAGGGGTTCCCAGTTCTCCTGTAATTAAATAAAATTGTAAATATTTATGTTCCTATGACAATGAGAATCTTTTGAATTGATCCTTTACATTGATTGGCTGGTAAAAAATAAAATCTGGAAAGCAATAAATATTGTAATTTATCCTCTATGCCTATTTTTTATTGGAAGTTAATCAATGATCCATATATTTGAGTTATTTCTAGTTGTAGCTGCATTTTTTAATGTTTCCCATATTGGAGACCTAAGTTTGGAGCCTAACAATAGCTAGTAATAGTACAGGCCTAGCCTAGGCCTAAGCCCAGCCTACATAACCAGTCTGCTCATCCCAGTATGGCTTCAATGCCTACACAGTGCAATATTCTAGGCCCCCTCATGCAACTGGCATTGGCTAGCAGTGTTGAATCCTTAAACTCAGTTTCTAATTAATCTAAGTCATAATTCATTCTAACAAATGCCTATAAAAGGGCCAGGTTAATTATTGTATTTATGGTTTAGGAATTTAAACACAAAATTGAGTGAATACTTACTATTTTTTATGAACAAAAAGAGAAACATCACAGAGCAGAAGCCTGCTTGTTCACTCACTGTGCAAATGGTTCATTAAAAGTTTTTACTCAGTCAGGCAATTGTCAGACAACCTGTTGATACTGCATTCTGATTGGTCAAATATTTACATGGCGATATCTGTTAAACTGCTTTTGTTATTCACCACCTGTTATCTTACAGGTACCAATTACAATGTGTTATTACAGTAGGACCCCTAATAAGGGGACACCAAGAAAAGTGTCCCCTTAATAGGGGTGTCCCCTAAATAGGGGTACCCCTATTCAAGGTACCCTAACCAAAACATGAAATTGTCCCCTTAATAGGGGTTTTTGGCATGTTTTCATATAATGACATACTTTCTTTATAATTGTATTTTTATTGACATAAGAATCAGTTACAGTAGAATAAGAACTAATTTATTGCAATAATTTGCAATACATATACAATTCATTTATAATATGAAATCAGCAGTAATGGAAATTAAACAACAATAGTTTTATGTTCCCAATATTGTTTCATTGTGCAATGTTAATGACCAAATATTCTTTCTTTTCTTAATGTTGAACTTTTTATTAAATGATAAATAATTTCATATGATTTCAAATGTGATTAATATGTGTGTAAGTAATGTGTATGTGAAATGTCCTGAAAAGTAAACAGTTATGGTTTATTTACAAATAACAACAATCATGTTACGTTAGCGCTTTCTATTGGATGGATGTAGCATGAATAGAGTAATATGTTTTTACAGTATATGGATTAGAATTCTATATAAAAATACATAAAAAAACAAAGAAAAAGAAATCCTCATTGCTAAGGGTAAAAATTGACAAGATTGGTTTACGAAGTAACACATACATTAGTAACACATACAGTAGGTCTATACTGATATTCACTAGATTAAGGGGAGAAAATTCTGGTTTATTGTTCAAAAGGTGTCAAAATGTAAAGTTGAATGATTTTTTTCTTATTTTTAGAGTGATGTATATGTTGTGATACAATAAAAAAAAAATCTTGAATTGTCCCCTTAATAGGGGTTATTTGACCATTTGGCACATGCAGAAAGTGTCCCCGTCCCCTTAATAGGGAAAAAGTCCCCTTAATCGGAGGGGTTCTACTATAATTGCTTAATAGGTTTTAACAGGTATCTGTTGAGTTGCCTGTTCATTCTTGTAACAGGTACATGTTAATACCTGTTAATACCTATTTTTTTTCTTCATATTCATTGTAACTATTGATTGAAAATGCAGTTCAATGGTATAAAAGTATTTATAATATTTATTCAGAATTTTTTTAAAATGGCAATACATAATCATACCACACTATTTTGTATCTTTTTTCCCTCAGGCTCTGGTAGAGTCGTCAGATGCTGAAATGAGGGAGTATGCAGCAAGAATGTATGGCATTGTTGCTTGCTATATGGAGCGGCCTAGTCTCAGGCAGGACCTTAAACATTTCATACACTCCATCGACCATGATGTAAGTAAACTCTACCAAGTCCAGATATTTCATATTACATAAATTTACTTATTAGATTGCAGCAGGAAACCCCATCAGAGGAATTTACGATTTAAAATAATGCTACACATTTACATAAACCTACACTTAATATGTTAAATAAATTGTTTTAACTGTCATTTAATAGTATAATTCATCAGAACAACATTAATATTAATAATGATGATAATAATATTAACATTAAAAGGATTAAATAAGCGTGCAATTAAGATGTTAAATAAATTGGTTTAACTGTCATCAAATAATTAACTTTACTAACCACTTTTTATTTAAGTTCAAATATTAAGCTTAAAATTGAAACTTTTGGGAGACAGGTTGTAAAGATTTAGTTACTTGATCATGAATAGTAGTAGTTTGAATAATTCACAGAGCTTTCAATTGTCTTACTGACATAATTCCCATTGTTTCCCTCAGAACTATGCCACTCAGCAAGGTTCGATATTGGCTATTGGTCACATGGTAGGTAAGCTGATTGAGAAGGAGAATCAAGATGGAAAGAACTACATCCAACGGGATAGAGACAGTGCCGATTCCGCTGAAGATGATGTATATAATGACGCAATGAAAGCAATTGGTCAGTATTATTTAACATTTTTAGTTTCTGGGATTTATTAAATTACTGTTATGAATTTATATATTTTAATATTTATTAAGTTTTTTTAGTTATTAATTCAAGAAAATCCAATTCTATTGCTTGATGATGGTTTGCTACCTTTCACAATACTATCTGTTCAATGGATCCAGCGAAGCCCAGGCCCCCAGTCCAAAGGACCTCCAGTCCAAAGTGGCTGCCAGAGAGGCTCCTTCTTCTAAAACCAAGTACACTACTATAGAGCCTTGACATTTAAAAAGATACCCGAAACTAGTATGGCAATAAAACAATATAATTTATTTGATTATACTGTAGCTTACAAATGTCTTATGTGAACACACATGTCAACAATTCTTTTATACAATATGCTACACCACTGAGTAAAAGTTCATTTTAAAGCAACAAATGTAAAGATAATTAAATCACAAAATAAATTTCCATTCCTGCAGCTGTGAAGCTTGAGTGTAGCAACCATGATCTTGTGGCAGCTGCATGCGACGCCATCGCTACCATTGCATGCCTTGGTTCCCTGCCACTCATTGGTGGTGGCAATGGTAGTTTCAAAGGAAAAGTGAAAGGTAGTACCTCAGTAACCAAACACTACGTGGTTCAAAAACTTACAGACTTGCTCACTAAAGACTGCTATGAAGAAAAGGTAACAACACTTTATTTTATGCATTCAAAATTATTCAAGTCTGAAACATTTTTTAACAAGAGTGATGAGATTAAAATAATGATGTTGAATTATTAATGTGTATTATTATTATTGATTCTCTTTGTTTATTTGGTATTATGTTTATGGTTTATTTAATGTCTTTATATTTATTGATTAGTCAATTATTTTTTCAGGTATAAATCATTTCATACATAATGGTGTTTCTTTTTTCTTTTAATCACTAATATTTTGCTGCTCCTACTGTTGTTATAAATAACAATAACAACAGCTACTGCTACTATTATTTTGTTATTTGGTATTTGATATAGCACCTTTCTTTTAGTTACAAAGCGCTTTGTTTTCCCTGGTCATTGGGTCCACATGCTTAAGTTTTGCTGCAATATTTGCACAGTAGCAGGCAACCCCACCAAGTACCCATTTACACTCATGGGTGGAGAGAAGCAGTGCTCAAGGACACAAGCGAAATGCACAGCGAAGGATTGAAACTCTGACCTCGAGGTTGGGAAACCAAACCGTTCTGACTGCGGCAAACCGCTTCTACAGTCTTTATTAGATTTTGATTAATTATGCATCAATGGTGTTTACAGGTGAAGATGAAAGCTGGTAGAGCACTTGGTAACCTTGCAGTTGGAGAAGCAGATTTTCCTTACAAAGACATTGTAATGGAAGTCCTATCTAATAGCATTGAGGTAAGATAAAAATCAAAGAATGAAGAAACGTCTAATGACAGATGATGATGAAGAAATGATAAGGAGGTGGGGGATGATGACATAAATATAATAATATAGAAAATGGTCATGGTGTTAATTGTGATGACAGTCATGATGAGAATGAGTATGAGAATGGAGTATGGTGACAGTGTTGATGAATGAGGAGGAGGATGATGTTAATTTGGAGTGGTGCTCAAGCTTAATATGATTGATAAGGATGATAATCAGATGATGGTGAAATTCATTGTGTATGGTGGAAAAATTAAACGCAATGATGATAATCATGGTGGTGATGATGATGGTAAATATTGATGACCATGTTGACGATGTTAATAATGATGAACTTGGGATGAAAATTGTGGCATGTGGAATAGATTGTGATGGCATGATGATAAAAATTACACATTTTATCTCCCCCTTCCACCAGATTACAGCAAACAAGAGGCCTGACCACATAAAGCTGCACTTCAGCCTAGCAGATGCATTGGGTGCCGCCTTTCAGGGTGGGACTGCCCCATCAGGGCGAGACCAGTGGTTGGAGGTGACAGAAAATGATGGCCTAGGACAACCAGTCAATGGAAACCTTAGCGAATACATTGACACACTGTTACTTGGCTTCAGGAACAGAGACAATCAGAAGTACAGAGAGGTAGGAATTATAAATGTCAGGGAACTAATTGCTAATGATTTGCTACACAATTTTTTGTGATACAGTACATTTTAGATATGGAATATGTTTGGCCATGTGTTGGGTTTTTGATGACTTAGTTCCAGCATATAGTTCTCTTGTATTTTTTAATATTAAATTTGTGAGTGAGTTGAAAGAGGTTATCCAAAGTATATAAAAGGCTTAAGTGAAATACTATTCAGGATGTTTATGAACTGAAAAGCTTGTTAATGAGGAAGTTTTTTTTTTGTTTTTTGTACTTTAGTTGTGAGCTTAAAAATAATTTTATTTATTTTCCGTTATGAGGTTATATAATATTATATCATTTTTTACAGGCTGTTTGTGTCCGGCTTTTGGTTCTAGTCGAAATATTTCATCAGCGTGAGGAAATTATGGTAATTAGAGAACATTTATTTTTTTCTTTTATTTTCACTTATTTCTTATCAAGCCTTCAACATTTAGAAAAAATTTTAAAAAACCGATCAATCTTGTATGAGTACTACTTATTCAAGTGGAGAAATTATAACACACGATCCAATGACATTAAAAAGAAAGGCAGCTATCATGGAGCTATTTTACTACAAGCTCTCATGACCTCATCAAGTTTTATGTGACAAATAGATGTGATGTGCCTATATATGGCCATAATGTTGGCATTGTTACCTCCTGCTGTTGAGAATTATTGACTTTCAGGCTATCTAATCGTATTTCACTTTTTTTCTTTTTGTCACAGAGTCAGTTACCAGCACTTAGAAATGTTATTACTCAGAAGGTTCAGGAATGGGATGGTAAGTTACGTCATACACCATGATTTCCTTCCAATAATATTATAAACTATTTTCATATTGTTACAGTTCACTAAGTGCAGCAATGCAAACTGTACTGAACACTGACTAGGTCTAGCTGCCAACATTATTCGAACACCTGTGAATACTGTCCTGGCAGGCCTTGCGCCTTAAATTGCTGTTGGGAACGGTGTGGTGGTGTTTAGTTTCATCTGTGTTGTTTTATTTTATTTTTCCCTTTTTCATTTTTCCAGTTTACTTCTGTAAGATGTATTTCATCGCTACGGTTCTATAGTAGCAAATATACGAAAAAAAAAAAAAAACGAAAATTGCTCTGATCTTTATGAAATAGTGTTATATAAGTGCTGTAATGTAGGCTGAGATACCATATTAAAGATAATAAACCATAGAATATGAGTGTTTAAAGAGACAAAAGCTTAAGCTAAAATGTAAACATAAATTATCAGATTTAATTTTCTGTCGCTTCCCACAGCTTCAGCGCAAATACGGTATCTACCTGAAGACACACAATCTAGGTTACTCCATGCCCTCAAAGCCTTGAAGTCTGCTGCTGATGAGAATGCTTAGGTTGTAGGTCGATTATCACCGATAAGCCTCATATATTTGTATGTGTAGATGTTGAATTTCTACTATTTACCACCGAAAGCATTTGCAATGTAAATATATGAAACAGCTTCCACTATTAATATGTTCTCAAGTATATTTAAGAATTTTCTAATGACACTCCAAGTTCATTACAATTTTATTTGTTTTATACTAATATATATATATATTTTTATAAACTTAGATTAGAATGTCATAATTTGTTGCTGTATGTGAACTATGAAAAGAAATGTTCTGTATTATTAGGATTAGGAGCAGTTTGCATGGTTTTATGTTTAATGTATTTGGTATGATATATTTTCATGCTAAGAATCCCTGGGAACAAAGGTGCATTTTTACTCTTGTATTTAGTGACTACAAGACAATGATGTTAATGACTATTGAAACATATAAATATTCATACAATTCAATTTGTTTCTAAATTCTGATTGAATATCATATTGACTATTAATGTAACACCTTGATGAATATCCATACCTGTGTTTAAAAAAGTACAATATAGATCACAAATTTTCTATTGTTATAGCTTGATTATTTTAATTATGAATATTTGTAAAGTATAAAATCATTACCACATCTTAATTATTAAGTATTCTTTTTATAGAGTACCATCTCTTGATTGACTATCAAACTTTTGTAATGTTGAAGCTTCATATTATTAAATTGTAGAAGGTATACTGTATATCATGACCAAATTTTATTTTATGAAAGATTGTATTTATTGTGTCTTAATTTGTATAAGTATTTTATGTAATATTCCAAAAGTATATGTATCTCAGGATAGATGTGTAACAGAAATGCACTATATTATTTACTAACAAATGTATATTTTTGATATAATTTTCACAAGATATGGTAAATGTTCTGAATGAAACTGTAAAAAGGAAATGCACCATACCCAGATGGTTTACTCTGAACAGTGTAAATGTATACAACATTCCATTTTTAATTGAAGATTTACTAAGCATTATTTCTTGCTATGATGTAATATCAAACATCACCTAACCATTAAGCCGATTCAAATCGGATACAAACCAAAATTTGGACCGCGCTTCCAATGTGTTGAATGCCAGCTTCCCTATTCTTGACACCGATTAAATTTTCTGATCGGTTCAATAGGCAAAGATATTTACTATAGAAATGATGGTACAGTATATTAATTCAATTCAACATTATAATGTTATAGTACATGGACCAGAGCAGAATTATTTTCTTCGGGCAAATTTTGATTAATATAATTACCATTTAGTATATTGTGTGTAACATTGAATATTCAAACTGCATTATACACTTTCCATTTGAAGTTGTAGGCCTACATGCTTAAGGAAATTTCACAAGGGTCTGTTATGTCAATACTGTAATTCCTTAGCTTTGTCACATCAGCCATGAAAAAAAAAAAAGGTGTGTCAATCATGCTTTTTAAAATAATAACCTTTTATATTTCATGAGTGTGGGTGATACCATGTGTTTAATGAGCAATACATTATCCACACTGTTTTGCTCAAATGTTTATTGAAGGGGAAAAGATAATTTCATCGGAGTCAAATACTGACATAGTGATGACGTATAAAACCCAATTAATTTTTCTCCATTTTAAGTAAAAAAGGTCATTGAATAACCAGATCCAATTAATCTTCTCTATAGTAAGTCAACAGTAGTTATACATGTTAGTTAAAGCACAGCATATTTTGGAAATAATACAAGAACACCAAAGTTGCATTGATGATTACCTTTATTTATTATACTGTGTACTGTCTTTTAATAAAAAATTTATATCATGTAAGTTATACTGTATATTATGCTCATAAAAACAAGTAATATCAATCGATTTAAGGTAAAGGTATTTGCACTCCATGTGCTAAAATCAAATGTTAAGGAAAGAAAATAAAATTTACTATGGAAAACCTTATAACATTTTCAAATACAGAAAATGAGAAGGCAAAGGAATACAAACTAATTCAACCCATCTCATCAAATTCATAATTTTGCATGTCTTCACTACTTTATTGTCAATTACCTCACGGAAGTCAGTGCCGATGGGTGTCACTATGTATTAAGAAAGCTAATTAGCCAGATGACGGCAGCCTGCTTGGGCCCATGAATATTTCAAAATCATTAAGCAAAAAAAATGGAGTAGAAAAGGAAATTATAATTAAATTTAAGTGTGATAGGGTAATTTCCGGCCATCTGGAAGTGCCTAAATCATAATTTTTCTTACCTCATCTCCAACCACGGTGGAGCTGAGGTATCGACCGTCCATCTATAAAAGTCTCACCCTGCCCCGCCCCACACCTACCCTTCGACCCACCACTGCAGATCTCCGGGAAATAACTTCTTCCAACTTGGGACCCCTGCAGATCTAAATGAGAAGATCTAGGTTTTATTGCCATATCACATATTAAAAACAATCCCTTTTACTTATCTATATTAATCTTAAACATCATTATGTGGTGTTACAGCAAAACAGAATTACTACGGAAGTTCGCTTGGAAATTCTGCACTTTTTAATAAGCCTCACACAATAACTTGCATCCCACTTATTTATAACCTATCCTATATGGTAAAATAGTGGTTAAACCTTGGCCTTGTGCTTTAAATTAAATAAGAATGACTACCAATAATAAATAATAATAATAAATGGATACCAGAAGAACACGCCAGAGCTGCAGAGCAGCAATTGAAAATGACCTCTCACTGTATCATTTGAAGTAGGATAACTGAAACAACTTTGATTTCAATTTAACAGCCTTAAATATTTATGTAGACCTATGATATTTCATAATTTCTTTTTTTTTCTATAAACAAAGAAAATTAAATTAATTTAAAAAAAGGTGGGTTTTGAGTCCTGACTTAATTACAAAGAAAGTTGAGGACTATCGGATGACTACTGGAAGACTATTCCAGTGTAAGGAGCAGCAACTGAAAATGACTTCTCGCTGTATTTTTTTAGTGACATAATGGGTAGTTAAGTGGATGTGAAGGATATACAATGATGTATACTGTTGAATATCACATTTCAGGGCATCTAGGAAAACAAAATTCAGTTGGAACATGTAACCCTAGTGGATAAGGTACTACCAGTTTGTTGGCATCTGTTTTGAAGAAATCATTAAAATCCTCATAGGGTTCATTCATTTAGGCCTTCTTGATCTTTCATCTGGCTCATGTCTACATCCTCCACCTCTTCTGTTTCCTTATCTGTTGCCATATCCACGTCATCCACAACAGGTAAGGCAGGTAGACTTGAGATGGCTTTTCTTGCATCTGCGGCCTGGTCTCTCAATGCTCTATCTGGGTCAGCTCCCATTTTGTTCAGTGCATCCAATAGTTGACCACGCAAATCAGTACCTAAAACATCTGTTTCATTTGCACCTGAAATTATTAATAGTCCAGTTTATAGTTTCAATCAAACTAAATAATGAATAATTATCATAGAAATTATAACAGGAATACGTGTACCTTTCATATTTAAATTTTATCCAACAGAAATTGCCATGTAAAAGAATACCATTAGTCATTTAGTACCCTGGGATGGACAGTTCTATTATCAATGTAGGGGTGTTCATTTAAAGAAATAATGATAACGATATATCTACAATAGTTTTCACAAAATAGCTTTCTATTTTACAGTATTTAAACATTTCTCTATGATTTAATTTATAGAGCACTTAGACCATGCTTAGACCAAAAGCAAACAAAACAACCTTGTACTGTAATAGTATCCCAGGTCTTATCTGAATGATAATTGACTTTAATCGATTGTAAACACCTTATCTTAATCTTATAGTGATAAGACTATAAGTAGATCTTAATTGCATTAACTTGTAGACATGCTAAACAAGAATAGAGGCAAAACTATCAAGTAGCAGTACAGTGAATACCAATAACAGCAAATGTTAAAAACTCACTTGATAACCTAGATACCAAATTGTCTATAATTTTCACTGCTGATCTTCTAATGGCTACATATTTGATGATACCTAAAAAAAATAAAAGTGGAAAAATATTTGAATAAAATATCCAACAATTGCTTAAAAAAAACATCATGGAATGTTATGAACATGATTACCATTGATAGTAACATAATTACTCAACAATAGTTGCCAGTCATTTACTACTTTTAAAATGATATTTAGTACTACCATGGAGAAATAAAATAATTTATTCCTCCATTGTACTATAAAAAAAACTCACCAAGCCTGCTACATAATACAGGAATTATCTTTTCCAAAATAGAGTTTAAAATTGCTCTGTCTTCAGAACTGAGATCAGCTTGTAAGTACACTAACCTGCAATAAGGAAAGCACAAAAGCATATGAAAGTAAACATATTATAACAGAAATACATTTTTCTCCTAATCAATTTGGCAAATTATAAAAAAAAAAATAAGTAAAGGAAATTCGAAAATTTGACTGCACTAGAGGGGATGCAAAGCAGTGTTGTTGCATGCACTGGGATATTGTTCATTGACAATTCACATACAAACTCTGTTTATCTACTGTATATGATGATATTAATAATTGAATTAATGAATAAAAAAAGATTTATAGACTTACCTATCTAGAAATTGTGACATTGCCTTCAATATTGACACCTGGATTTTGAATGTACTAATTTCGACACCAGCACACATAAAACCACAAAATCTTTCATGATGTGCATCTAATAGGATGAACAGTATGTTAAACAGATAGTGCATAGAATGAAATAAGTTCATCTAACATTATAAATGATGAGATTGCTGACTGATGTGTTTAACAACCTATCAATATATACTCTATTGATTACATACAAGAAAACGTCAATACCCACAATTCACAGTGTACATGGTTTTCAGATATCCACAAGGCATCATTGTATAAGACTAATATACAGTGCTAAATACGAAGTATTAAATATTTAAAATCATAGCAGAGACCCACTGATATTCTTTAAATATATGGGTGTTACAATTGCATGCAAATAAAAATCTAATGAGAATAATCAAGTGTACAAATACTCAACTCTCAAGCTTAAAGCTTTTGGGCAACAGCTGATTTCGTTAGTGAAACCATCATTTTTTTTCCACGTTCTTCCCTAAGCTTTTAATTTTTCCAAAATCTGTATCTCATTAACCATTCCCGAATATTTCATTAAACACCCTTTTTGTGTCTTATAGAGAAATCAGTTGTACAACACATCAAAAATGTATTTCTTTCCTCCATAGACTGGCTTTAAAAAAAGAATGCTTAAAGCTTTTGGGCAACAGCTGATTTTGTTGGTGAAACCATCATTTTTTTTTTCCACGTTCTTCCCTAAGCTTTTAATTTTTCCAAAATCTGTATCTCATTAACCATTCCCGAATAGTTCATTCAACACCCTTTTTCAGTCTTAGAGAAATCAGTTGTACAACACATCAAAAATGTTTTTCTTTCCTCCATAGACTGGCTTTAGAAGAAGAATGCGCGATGAGATTTTGAATATTAACAATACCACAGTAGCGTGATCTTTTTTTAACCCTTACTTGCTTGATTCACTTAAGTTATGCTTCTGTATAATTAATTGTGAAATATTATTATTATATCCATTATTTTCTCACATTTTTCTCCTGTTTAACTGCGGAGTCCACCATTTCAAAGTTTTAACATTTTTCCTGGCCTCGTCACTTGTTCTTATTATGGAATTTAGGCCTACATTTCATTATGTTACATTTTGTTATTACTTACTGTAGTAATATTTTTGTTTAAAGCCTTTACTCATATAATCTGTACCATATAACATTTGAACAAATGTAAATAAATTGAATGTGGTTGTTGTTGTGACTGTGGTTCATCCAAACTTGAGAATGAAACACTCTTGTGCAAGTGTGGTGGCTATTTTGATGCATATTATGCATGTAACATCTACAACACATCTAGCAGATACAGTATATTGTACACTAGTGTAACACTTCACTTGGCATTTGGTAAAGGTAATGGTTGTAGACTTGTATAACGCATAATACTAGGTTTCTATGCACTTTCAACAAATTTTCAATAGAAGTTGAGTAAAAAACAAATAAGATGAAGAAAAAAGAAAGTAAAAAGAAACAACAAAAATCATCAAAAAAAAAAACAAGGAACAAAAAACAAATCCAATCTATGTAGCTACAACCCATTTTGTTAGAAATAGTGTACAGCTTCACTGGACTTGTATAACTTTGATAAAGATTTCATAGTAACCTACCTTGTGTCTGCCTTGCCTTTGGCCAAGCTTTTCCTAGACATTCATAAGCATTTTCCTCCAGCACCAGCTGCTCCTCTTGTGCCTCCCTGTCCTCTTCCTCTTCTTCCTCTTCATCTCCATCTTTTTTTTTGGTCTGCTGTAAAAAAAAAAATCTAATTGCTAAGGTCATTGTGAATACAACCAAATACAGAAAGTACATTATAATTAAATTAACAGTATGAAAAAAAAATCACTAGTAGTATCAATCCTAAAGTCTGGTAGGTTACGAGGTAATTATGCTAAATGATAATAGTCAGAATCAGAATTAAAATATATTTTTTGTCATCCACAATATTGGTAACAGAATTTGTTTTCCTAGTTTGATGTCAAATATTGCTTTCATTTTTTTTTTCATTGGTTTTATATTGTTAATACTGAACCACTTTCGAAAACAGTGCTTCAGCACTGAAAGTGTCATTAATTATAAAGATAAAATAAATAAATGATTATATACAAATAGTGCCAGAGAATTGTGAAAATTTAACAATATAAAATAAGCAAAGGAATACATTAGACCGAACATAATGGTTATGATGTGGTGGCAGTGATGATGATCATGTGATGAAGATAATATTGATGATGATGACATGATACTGATGTATTGATGCTGATGATGATGAAGATCATGATTTTGATTACATAATGCACTTACCTTGTCTATAACAGGGTACAGAATATCTGCCAATTCAGCAAACCTATCTATATCATGTGCCAAGAGTATTGTAGATATACACTGCAAAGCCTCTACCTTGTAGCTAATCTTCTCCTTCTTGCACTCTTTCAACAATGCTAATAAGATCTCTTGCATAGTCAGTTGTTCTGTTGAGGTATCTTCCTCACTCATCGTCACATTCCTAACGAAATAAACCGCTAGCTTTTAATTTCTTCATAATATTTAATTATATTTATTATTTTTTAAAACATATTTTAATATTTTGTGACTTATGACATGTCAGATAAAAATGTATTCAAACTTCATGACAGACTCAGATAAAAATATATTCAAACAAATGTTCATGTATAATATACTTTTGTTAATGGTTTCTTACCATTTTATGTTTTATCTGTCATCTTTTTTTACTTCTATTGTCTAATGTATTTCTACTGGAATTTTACTGCTATTTTTATGAGGATTTAGTTTTATTTCTTACGACTAAAAACACCTCCACACAATCCTTTTTAGGAGTTAGTTTAAAGAGCTTCATTAGTCTAAAAAATGTCTGTTGATATCAACTTACTTTGATTTTGTGCACAGGGATGTTAGTGCCTTTAACAACTCCTCCTGGGGATAAAATAAAAAGAATTGTACATATCAATTTACAAAGTAATTCTCTAAAGTGCCCATGGTTTTAAAGGTTTTTCACTAGTTTATTTTTTTTTTTTTTTGCAGTCACAGATGAAAAAGAATGACAACACACAAGTTATTTTAGCATAATAAATGGTACTATAGGACAGATGTTTCTATTAATTTTATGAGGTGTTCTTATTTAAGGGGTCGTTCAACATTACTATCATTTTTTGGTACACTAGGAGGGATGGGGTAAAGAATTTTGGACACTCTTACATATGTATAATAATGTTGATTCAAAATAACACGCAATATGTAAAATAATGATAAAATTATAATGTAACCATTGATATATTTATTTTTAACCAACCAAGTACATTGCTTTAGTTGACTTCACAAAAAAATGGAGAATGGTATCAACAAAGCAAAATCAACATTTTTTGTACAAGTTCAGAGAGGAGGGAGAGGGTACCGAAAAAAGAGTACTGTTTGTACACTTGTGAAAATGTTGATAATTGTGAACGACTCCTACAAAAACAAGCAGTTAGCAGTATGTTTATGAAAGTTACATAATTGCAAAACACTGACTACAAATAATCTCATTGTCATCCTAAAACATGCTTACCTTACCATCCCATGTTCTACCAGCTAGGCCTTTCACTACCAGCTGCAGAAGCCTACCAAGATGTGGCTGTGTCAGGGTAGAGCCTAGCTTACTAGCTATGGTGTTAATAGCTCTAGCTCCCTGAGCTTTTCTAGGCCAGGACTGTGAAGCTAGTGCATCTTGGGTAATGGCTACAAGCTCTGGTAGAAATAAGCGAATACCGCCCTCAGTGCCCGGTGTTGAATCAAGCCAGATTTCCTCCCAGATGGATTCCACTTGATCTGAATTTCCTCTTCCTGTAAGTAAGAAAAGAAATGAAAGCATTCTAGAAAATAATAGTTTACAAATTAATATGTGTGAAATAATATATACAATATTATTGCAAAAAATAAATATTCTGATTTGACAAAATACACTAAGCAGCAGTGGTGTTAGTAGTATAAAAAAAAAACATGCTTTAAACTAATTTGCCAATAAAATTTAAATAACTAGCTCACATCTGAATGTAGTCCATTTAATAAAATGAAATGTTTAAAAGAATAATAAACCAAACCAACCTTTCTCTGACTTCTCATGCATAGCTAAAAATGTCAAAGGTAAAGCTGCAGATGCATGATTCTTCAAAATATCAGCATTGTGACGAGAAATCGCATGGAGAGTCAAACCGCATGCGTCGCGAAGTACATCATCTATTAGAAACAAATCATTAACGAGTATTAATATTTGTTGATAAACAAATTTGTCTGATGGTAATTGTTAACATTGATTTAAACTGATAACAATAATCAATAATAAAATAGCATCAACAATAAATATAAAACCATTTGAATTTACAAAGTACTTAATAAAACTTAATATAAAAGATTGGTATCTGTACTGAAGATAATAATTAGCAATTTCTGCAAATACTGAAGAAATTTGTATTGGAAAAATTACTAAAAATTGATTATTTATTTACCATCTTTTTCAAGATACCAGGATTTGAGACGATTTATGAGTTTTTCAACACTACTGTCTTTTGCTACCTGTAAGAGAAACCACAACACATGTTTTAATATGTAGCCTTTCAATTTATAAACAAGTTAATATAGTAGTGAACAAAGTGGTAAAACATCATCAGTATGTCTTTGAAGAGGTTACCTCTACAAGATGTCCAATGGCTGATGCATTGCTTTTTCTGACTGCAGCACTACGATCACTGAAACCAGCTAGAAGACTGCTCAGAATCTTACCTACAATAGCAAATTATTAAATTTAAAAGATCAAATTTAATAATGAATTAATTAATATGATTTAAAAAACAATTACATGCACAACAAATATACCCACATCCATTATGATACAACAATGGAAGAATAATAGCAAACAAAATCTAGCAAACATTTTTATAAAGTATGACAGAAGTTTTAAAGGTTCACGCTTAATTTTTTGTAGTTTCTCTTGGCCTATATTGCTGTTAAAGTGCCTCAAATTGTATGATATCAATAATAAAAATAAATTAGTTTCATGTAGAGCATATCATCTCAGTACAGCCTCTAAGTATGCTTAACCATAAAGAATATAAGCACTGATGAGATAGCATAATACAAACAAATTTGTACTGTTTCTCTTACTTGCATATTCTTCAAGATCCCTGGGGCAATGGTTGCTCAGCATCACCATGAAATTAGCTGCTCCAGCCTAGCAAAATAAGGTAAATAGAAACAATTTATTAACCAATTAATGCAGCTCTGTAGGTTAAGGAAACAAGAATGCTGTGAAGATGCAAATCATGGTTGGAGATAAATATAGTGCCTTGTGAAAAAGGCAGCATGGTGTCATACATCTGACTACAGATACAAACCACAGGAAACTCACCTTAGTATTTACTCCAACTCCATATTTTATGACATCGATAAGTCTAGGTACAAGTTCCTTTAAAACCTCTTTGTCAACATATTGTGTGCACTAGAATAGCAAAGCAATGAGAAAATAAATGAGACAAATAAATACCATAAGTCTACTTATCTGGATGGAGAATCCATCTAGCTGCAGGGAGAATGGCTATTCATCACAATAATTGTCTACACTACTCTTTCTTTGATTTCAATTATTCATCTCTTTTGTTTATTTGGAATATACCAACATGAAGGCTAATCTGTGATAGAACTGAGCATTGGAAAATATACAAATATGTCAATCAACAATACATAGTTTACTATTGGTTGTACTTTTGTTAATGTATATAGTTTTTTTTAACCATATTTATTTTCCAGCATATCCTAGAAGGTCAGCTGATATTATTCAGGGGCCCTTTTAAAGAAATGAAATAACATGATGCATTTATCAGCAAAGTTTCTTTATAAAGTTTAAGGAGTGGAGTAGTTTTTTAGTCGTGAGAAAAAGTCCTGCGAACAGGAATTGAACCCAGGACCCTGGGATTAGATGACAAGCATCTTAACCACTGAGCTATTCAACTCCACTCCATATAGTTTGTTTATAGGATAGTATTAAGTCTTGTGACTGCACTCACCAGGGCTACTGTCTCCATCATTGAAGAAGATTTAGCAGCTGCTACTCTTATATCATCAAGCTTATAAAAGATAAAAGTGTATAAAAATATTAAAGTACAGTATAGTGTATATAATAATGCATATACTATGAATCCCATCATCATCTCCATTCCTATCATTATCATCCCATACAATACTATCATCATTATTCTTGGCTACTGTTCCTCTCATATCATCGTCAGACAGAAAAGAAAAGCCAAACCAGTCACTCGTCGCAAAAATCGATTTTGAGTTATTAATAGTGTTAGAGAGTAAAATAATAGCTATAAAATGGTAAAAAATCATTCAAATTGGACATTTCCTTATGAAGTTACAAGCGTTTTACCACACAGCTGTTTAAAGAACAATATATGAGAAATTAACCGTCAAAGTTTATGATTTCAAGCATTTCTCATGCAGAAACTATCTTTAAATCCTTAAAAAGTATTATTTTAACATTGAAAATGGGGAAAATAACAGCATACAATAATGTGTAGATATATAAAGGTTAGTTTAGTGCAATAAAATAGATTTTTAAAAATTTGACATTCCAGCATGTTTTGGCCTTTTTCTCTGAAACACGATTTGCGACGAGTGACTGGTTTGGCTTGTCTTTGCCACATATGATCATCAATAATTCCATCACTACTACCACATTTTTATTTTACTTTACTTCCATAACCCTTCATTAAACAAAATATTATTAATTAATATTCCCCTTTTCATTATCACCCTCATAATAAGTATATTCTTCAATGTTTACCTTCTCAACAACACCTTCGTTTCCACTGACACGTAAAGACAGATAATTCAAACGGTCGTCTTCAAGTCCACTTAACGACTCAAGCAAAGCAACAACCAATAGTGGAATGTGAGGCGTCAGCATTTTACCTGCATTCTTAGCAATTTTCACAATAGTATCCAAGCTAATAAAAACAAAAATGAGAATAAAAGTTGATCAAGATTTGCATCAAACGATCGGACGGAAGAAATGTTTTAATTTCAACGACACTAGATTTAAATACATGCAATAGTGAATTAATATTCAATAATTGGTTTTTGTATCAAATATTTTGTAACAGAATAATAATACATTTTTAAAAGTGGCTAGGCAGCTACAAACTGAATAAAGCTCAGTCCATTCCATCAAATTTTATGTGACAAATTAATGTGACATGCCCATATATGGGCATAATGATGTCATATTGCACTATATCAGTTTTTGTCTCATAAAATTTGATAGTGTGGACAAAGCTCTAGGAAATCAAGCTGTCTTACAATATACAACTATCAATCTACAAACTACCAACTTAAATTGTTTTTAATATTATTTCATACAGGATTAATCACAGAAGACAATCACATGTTTAAGCTCGATATATAGTGATGTTACATAAAGAAGTCTGGAGTGAAATGTGCAGGACCCAAAGATAAAAAGGCAACGATTTTAACGATTAATCGATCACTTCATTAATCAATCGGTCATTTTAACAGGTTGAATAATCAATTCATAAATTTATCAATCAGTCATTCATTAAAGCAATCAGTAAATTAAATAATGAACTGTTTCACTATCATCTTACCATATCTTTTTAGCTTTATCGATTGCACTTGAAAGTCCTTTGAGGAGACATGGTAGAACAGCTGCAATGGCCTGGGTCCCTAGCTTACCCCTGTCCACATCACATAGTTTGATTGATACCTGTATTTGACAAAACACAGCAATTCATGATAATGATGTAGAACGCTAGTCCTACTACTTCCATTGGTGCATTGGGGGTACAATTCAATACTTGATAGCACAGTACTGATTATTACAAAAGTAATCATTTATAGTACGATATATAATATAAAATAACTAATATTACCTATTTCCTTTGAATTATTTGTAAACAGTTTAATGATTCTTTTTTCGTAAGACTTTTAGATATTAGGTGGTTTTAGTCAGTGTGAAGTGCCTTGAACATTTGGGAAAGGAGCTATATAACTCATAATATAATGATGATACAAATATTCAAAATATTATTACAATAGCCTATGACACCGACCTTGCTAAGTTGGCGGCAAGATGCCTCAGCTGCTTCTCTCACTGTTGCCTATATGAAAATGGAATAATATAATATAATTACATATAGCACAGCAATATCCGAAAGTAGAGTATTGATGATAATTATGGTGATCATTATGAAGTTGATTGTGAGGACGATGGTCATGAAGATAACTATGATGGTGATGATAACAATGATGATGAAGATTATAATGAGAGTGCTAAACCCTGCTTGCACTGTTGATAGAGTGTGGTTAAGTAAGTTATGGCTTTGTGATATTGAGGCTACAGCCCCTGCCAAATAATACAGTTGTGCATGACAATAAAGAATACTTTGAATCCAAATTAAAACAAATAGAATTACTCACATTAATGAACTTTCATGCTAATCAATACTCACCTTAATATCATCAGCCACCCGTAAACAAGTCTCCCATAGTTCTGGCAGTTCACTGACTAAACTATCCAGCTCCCTGTTCCTCAGGAGATCCACCAGAGCTCTGCAACTTGACTCGCGATTCCTCCATTGAGAGTTAGTCAGGTTGACCTGCACATCCTTAAGGATCTCCAGCAAGTATTGGTCAATCACCTTCTTTTCATCAGTCACGAGTGCAGACCAAATGCTGGTCATGGCCTGTTGGATCTGTCTGTTTGGATCGTACTGGTATCGGTACAGCCTGGGGACAATATTGGGCAAGTGGGCAGCTAGCTGCTCACTGGCCTGCTTGGCAATTGTCCCAAATCCAAATGCAGCTCCCTGAAAATATTAAAATAAATTTAACTAATGCCATAAAAAAAAAAATCATGCTTTATCATACACAAAATAGCCAAAATAGTAACTGCCATAGAGGCAATTAAATGTAAGGTTAATAGTTATGAATTTATACCTCAAGTGCATTCTATCCTGATAGAACCAGAAGCATAACATAGACAGGCTCATGTACATATTTGTATTAAGTAAATTCATAAAATTGAAACATATCTCATTACCTTTCTTGAGTTCCACATTGCATTGTGGCTGGCTAGATGCATAAATTTGTACACCAAATCTGGTTGGTTGAGATCACTAGCCAATGAGCACAGCTCTTTGTAAGTTGTTAGGCCACCTCTGGAAGAAAATGATGACACATAAATTGATTTTATGTGAAAGGCAATAAATTATTGGATATATTAAATTTAAATTTGTTAACAATAAAAACCGAGTTAAATGATTACCTACCCAGTGGGATTTTTTCCTAGAGCCCCTTCGTCAAATAATTTAGTATCATCAGTCACTGTTTGCTTGGCTCTGGAAATAAATTGGAAAACATTATAGAAAAACACAAACAATAAATTTAAAAAAAATTAAACCCTAGGTTATTAAAGAAATAATGGTAGGAAATCAAGCAACAACAAAAAAAACACCTTTATACTGAAATTCAATACTTAATGGGTTGTCATCCAAGAATAACAATGTATTTATACTTGCATATTATATACAGATAATACCAAAATAATTAACTAATCAGAAGCCATGATCTCTGAGTGTTGATTCATAATATAACTAACCAAAAGATCTACAAAACTAATCACTCTACATGATACAATTTTATGATAGGGATTATGGATTAAAAGAAAGATAAGTTTTTTTAATTTAAATTTACATTTAATGTGTTATATTTAATAACAGTCTGAAATAATAAAAGTAAGCATAAAAATAATGGTAATAAAGTTTGTTTAATTACCTTTTACCAGTCATAAGCCTATCCACTAATGCAGTAACAAGTTCCTGTCGACTCTCTTCACTGCTCTGCTCATAAACAAGACTTAACCCCTTGGATGCAACATCCTGTGTGAATTCTACAAAAAAAAAATCAACACCATCATTGATAACAATCTTTATCAACATCATAAGAAATCACATCATATCATCAAAACTGCCATCATCACAACTGTCACCATTACCATCATCATCATTGACATTTCCATCCTCATCAACACTCCTATTAACACATAAATAAAATTTCCCATCACATTAATAGCATTAATAGTCAAATTGATCTGTAGGCTCACCATTATTTTCACTCAGTAGGTCCATGAATGCCTGCTGAAGTTCCTTGAAGCGGCACTTTAATGCAGGATGGCTGCCACATTGCTTTACCATAGATAACAACCAAATACAAGCAGCCTAACATGTGAAGAAAAATAGAAGGTTTAACAACTTTATATTTTGTTCTGTCTTATTATTTATTTTTCCTCGGTATGTTGACTCATTCTTTGTATTTTCTTTTCTTGCTTGTGTTTTTTAATGCTTTATAAATTTTGTCCTTTTCCTTTTCCAGGTTGAACAGATAAATAAATTATTAATTTTAATTGCTGAGTACATAAAATTTAAAAATAAGAAATATAATACCTGTTTCTTATGTGGATTTTCACTGGTCACATATTCTTTCAAGATCTTCAGTAAGGTCCACTCTACTCTATCCTTAGCTGCTTCATCCTCAGTGAGATCAAGAACAGGTTCAGCCTGGCTCCAGACATCCCTTCTTGCAGGACAGTGGAATGCCAAAGCAGCCTGACTAACAGCTTCTCCTACTGTGAACTGTAATTCTATTTGTTTGGTCTGAGGAATAATAATGTAATAATTAATTCAAAAATATACAACAGAATTGAAGTTTAAACTAATATTTGCACTAGTGAGTATAAGGTAATTTCAATATTAATAGTAAAAAAAATTATATTATATAAATTATAGGTACAGAGTATCAGATCTTCATCAACCAGTAACACTAAAAATAAGGTCAATCTAATACACGTCTCATCTTAGGCCTCTGGCAAGTCGAGTGGCCGAGTGGTAAGTCAGGGGTGCTGCAACTACAGCCTGAACATCGGCGCTGGTTCTAGCCGTTTCCAGGCTTCAGTTGGTAGAACCAAGTCTGCTCAGATAAGGACTTAAATGTGTGTACTTTAAGGAACCCAAGCATCTTTCGGAAGACTAGGAGGATACCCCAATGCTATGATTCATATCAGTCCCTATCGTTGTGGAATGATGTGAACATGTAGCTACTATAAGAGCCTCTTTATGACTGCTAGGTAGTCACGGACCAGGCCCATATGCAATTCAGCAGAATGAAGCTGCGAGTTGTGGGTTATTCTCTTACCTTTTCCTTTACTCTCCTCATGAAGCTCAAGTACAAACTAATTGATAAAAATGAATGCATATAATAAAATAATAAGTAATACATATTTAAAAAAGCATTTTATTCTTACATCTGCTGTTTTCATTAGGAGCCTCAAAACCTCTTCTGTGTATGGGAAATCAGGATCACCAATGGGTATATAACCAAGGTTCTTGCAGGCTCTCTCCTTCAACTACACATAAAGGAACATAGAATATTAACTTGAGCAACAATCAATCTATATAACAACAATTTTAAAGATTTTGTTTAGCTTACAGGCACCACATTGGTATATAGTCTTTGTATTGTCATTATTAGCACCTGACAACTTTCTACAATTTTGAACAATTGAAATAATTATATTTAACTGTCCTTAATCAAGAAAAGAGCATTCACACCATGGCCCTGTTCCTACAAATTCTTTCACAAATATACACGAAAATCGTATTGTCAACTAATCGCCATGGCTCCACAGAGTAAACTTGATAAGAAAAATCTCACCTTATGTGGAATTTTGATTGAGTAAAGTTTAGAACTAAGTTTCTTGACAATTGAAAAGAGGTTCATCCCATCATTTACTTCTTCATCTACTTTCATATCTTCATCTGTTTGTTTTTCCTCATTCATTTTAGCTTTCTTTATACCATCCTTCATGTTGGCATCTTCATGCTTTACACTTTTTTCTTCCGGTTGATTTCTTTGGGTCCTGGGAAATGGAAGTGTTCCGTTGCGGCCAATTTCCCCAATGGCAGTGCAGGCAGCAATGCATAAAAGTTCTTGATCGCTGCCTAAACATTTTGCTGTAAATATAAAACAGTCTTATACGTAAATTTCATAAGAAATTCTAGACACAGCTGCCAGCACTTATTATTGTGCAATGAATGTTTGTATAACATCTTTTAAATCAGACTGGTACTTAGCCAGGTGTGACTTGAGCCTAGTGTAAGTCTTGAGCATGACGTGAATATGTTGAGTGTTTAAACTCACATGGGTTGACCTAATTTAGCATGAAGAAATTGTCAGACTATGGTTTTACGTAGCCCAGCCTAGATAGTTTCTTACACACAAGTTCCAAAACTCCATAATTATTGTTGCATTATTTATCCTCAGCTCTGACTGGGTGCAAAAATCTACTAAATCACCTACTTTGGTGTCAGTTCACAAAAATCATATTTTGAAGATTAATATTTAGCAAACAAGCGTGGAGATCCAGTGTAGCTGCAGCGCAACGCCACCCCTGGAGGTGAATGGGCAGTAGGCATATACGGGAAAACAATCCTGCATACAAATACAACATAACTAAAATATAAAAACTGAAAATGTCATACAAACCTATATACTCTACAGCTTCTTTTATAACTGCAGCTATGCCATGAGTTGTAGTGGACTCATCAACTTCCATATCTTCCACCATGACATCTTCTTTTGCTTTCCTATCTAATAAATATCGTCTACCAATGGTGTAGCCTAGGCCTAGGATGGCCCCATGCTGAATTTCTAGACTCTTTTTATCAAAGTAGAGAAAGAAGATGGGTGTTATGGAAAAAAATAACTTGAATATTATGACAATTCACTTTTACCTTATATTCTTGTTAATCTTTTTTATAGGAGAGTTCTATGAACTGTAATTTTAAATCTGGTCTCTTAATAATATTTAAATATTTACCTTGCTTTTGGCCAGGTTTAGTAAATCAGTGAGAATGACTGAGAGTTGACTTTGATCAGCAGCATTTCCCACCACTGACATCAACTGAGCAGCAAGATCACGAATAACTTCCCGTCCAGATTTCATGAAATTCTACATTGGCAAAATAAATTAAAAGAAATACTTTATACAGTGTTAAACCACTCTAGGGGCAGCAGAATGTGTAAATGACATAAAAACCAACCATTATATTCTGAAATTTGAATTTGAACATTATGGCATTTTATGTATTGAAAAAGAACAACGGTAGTGTCTCCTGGGTACAGACCAATTCACAACCACCCTTGTGGAGAGGGGGTGTATGTAAACTTTCATAAGAGTATATCAATAAATATGTTGGTATTCTTCAAGTGAAACAATAGCCTTACACAGTCAGTGACTAACTTAATTTTACAATTCCAATGACAATACCTGAATGAATACACAATTACACCAACTTTCTCTTCATGGAGCACCTCTTCAAAATAAGAATCATTTATTGGGAATACAAAACAAATATAAACTTCCTACCCCAAAACATCTTTTCCACACTTCTTTTCTTGTCATTAGATCCAGCAATATGACAGTTTATCTATAAAGTTATAATATCAATATTTGTATACCTACAGCACTTACCTTTATCCAGTCAAGTTTTTTAAAGAACATGTCAGCCAAAAGAGTGTTAGCTATTGCAACAATTTCCACAAGGCAGTACATGGCCTGAGGTTCTGCAGAAACATTGAGAAGTTGTAGTATCAGGTCAACATAGTTCATCACAGTCTCTCCTCCAGGACTGCTGAGGAGTTCTTGGACATGTGGGTAAAGTCCTGGTGCTTGGTCCTGCATTTCTAAAGCATCCATGACAGGTGTTACTCCTGTTTCATAGACTAGGCAGGACCGCAGGTAAAATATGATCTCGTTGAACACAGCTGGGGTAAATGGAATCACCATTGTTCCTATTGTAACTCTTGACGTCCCTTTGATCCGTAATTTAGCCTGTGAGATTAAAAAATATCAAAATTCAATTAAATCTATTATTATTTACACATTAGGATAAAAATGCCAAATTTCAACCAATCACACCTAACCCCATCATTATTAACGACCTTTTTTATTCATTTTCTATGTTTTTTTTTAAATCACATTTATAGGGGGTGACCTTTCCAGCTTATCCTAGAAGGTCAACACATATTCAGTGCCGTTTTTTCTTGTATTTTTAAAGTGCATTGAGTCTTTATTATGTGCTATAGTATATTGATTCCCATTAAATTACATTACCAGGCTGAAGGATTGTAGAGGCAGTTTTTAGTCAGAAAAAAAATCATGCGCTTTCTCAAGCCAAGACCCTGGGATTTGACGCCAGGTAATTTAATCACCAACAACCTACACTTTTACTACTTACAATCAGCCCTTACAGGGGCTTCAAAAAGCAGTAATGCTGGTTTCCCTTTAGTCCCCTATTTAGTTTTCCAAATATTTCTTTTTCCGTTTGTTTTCTCAAACACCTTGAGCATTTTTTTAAAATGGATATGAGCGATACACAAATCTAATTTATCATTATTACTCCACAACACTATTTAGTTATAATAATATTGTAGAAATTATCTATTCTGAATCTATTAGCATTTGATAACAAATAATATATTACAGTTAAACTTGCCCACGTCGAATCCAAAATGGTATTGAAAAATTATTCGACTTTTTAGAGATTGTTAATTAATGGAAAACACAACAATAGCAACATGTAAAATAAGATCGACTTAGAAATTATTTGAGTTAGGCAATGTCGACTTAAGCAAGTATAACAGAATATGAAATGATGATAAATAGGACAATATCTATAATGAAACAACATATTTTTAAACTACTGTATAGTTTATTTTTTTGAGTCTGAAATTGCACTTACTTTTTGGTAAATATAATGGGCCATCTCCTGGAATTTAGGCATCAGATGAGTTCCTTTAGGAAACTCAGTCTGAATGGATAAATCCTGTTTCACTCCAACATGCACTGCTTTCAAACTCATCTGACGAATGTCTTCTTTACTAAAATTGTTTTATGAAAATACATAAACAGGTTCGTTTTATTGAGGTCTGTTAAGATTAAGTCAATAATATGAAGTGCACACTCTATAGTTTGATGTATGCAAGTTGGGAAATTACTAAATCTCTGTCCACGCTTTGACAAAAAGCTATTGTATGCCCATATATAGTCATGATATGCCTATATATGGTCATGGTATGATGTCATCATGACCATATTTAGGCATGTCACATGTTTTTGTCTAATGAAATTTGATAGTCTGGAGAAGGTTTTAGTAGAAGACGTACCTGTCAGCGGTGTTCAGGCTGTCTCTTATGTGTCCGGTTTAAATTGGAGTCTAATTGCTTGGCTCTTCAAATAACCCTCATATCGAGAGGTGGGTTAAGGACAATGCTTTTGTATCCGTATATATTGTAGTTTAGTTGGGTGGTGCAGCACTGCAGCTGCCGAGGCTCAGCAGGAGCCAAGCACAAATTTCGAAATTTCCAATTAAAATGAGGACTTTTTAAAAATGTGACCATTATCACTATTTCATAATTCTGTAAGGCATTATTAGATGTGTATAAGAGACAGTCCTAGAAGGTCAACACATATTCAGTGCCGTTTTTTCTTGTATTTTTAAGTGCATTGAGTCTTTAGTATGTGCTAGAGTATATTGATTCCCATTAAATTACATTACCAGGCTGAAGCATTGTAGAGGCAGTTTTTAGTCAGAAAAAAAAATCATGTGCTTTCTCAAGATTTGAAGCCAAGACCCTGGGATTTGACGGCAGGTAATTTAATCACCAACAACCTACACTTTTACTACTTCCAGTCAGCCCTCACAGGGGCTTCAAAAAGCAGTAATGCTGGTTTCCCTTGCTTCTGGTAAATTTTAGGATATTTAGTTTTCAAAATATTTCTTTTTCCGTTTGTTTTCTCAAGCACCTTGAGCATTTCTTTAAAATGGATATGAGCGATACACAAATCTCATTTATTATTATTACTCCACAACACTATTTAGTTTTAATATTGTAGAAATGATCTATTTTGAATCTATTAGCATTTGATAACAAATAATATATTAAAGTTAAACTTGACCACATCGAATCCAAAATGGTATTGAAAAATTATTTGACTTTTTACAGATTGTTAATTAATGGAAAACACAACAATAGCAACATGTAAAATAAGATCAACTTAGAAATTGTGGATAAGACAAGCCAAACCAGTCACTCGTCGCAAATCGTGTTTCAGAGAAAATGGCCAAAACATGCTGGAATGTCAAATTTTTAAAAATCTATTTTATTGCACTAAACTAACCTTTATATATCTACACATCATTCTATGCTGTTATTTTCCCCATTTTCAATGTTAAAACAATACTTTTTAAGGTTTTAAAGATAATTTCTGCATGAGAAATGCCTGAAATCATAAACTTTGACGGTTAATTTCTCATATATTGTACTTTAAACAACTGTGTGGTTAAACGCTTGTAACTTCATAAGGAAATGTCGGATTTGAATGATTTTTTTTTATTATTTTATAGCTATTATTTTACTCTCTAACACTGTATTAATAACTCAAAATCGATTTTTGCGGCGAGTGACTGGTTTGGCTTGTCTTTGCCACAATTATTTGAGTTAGGCAATGTCGACTTAAGCAAGTATAACTGAATATGAAATGATGATAAATAGTACAATATCTATAGTGAAACAATATATTTTTTTAAAACTATAGTTCATTTTTTTGAGTCTGAAATTGCACTTACTTTTTGGTAAATATAATGGGCCATCTCCTGGAATTTAGGCATCAGATGAGTTCCTTTAGGAATCTCAGTCTGAATGGATAAATCCTGTTTCACTCCAACATGCACTGCTTTCAAACTCATCTGACGAATGTCTTCTTTACTAAAATTGTTTTATGAAAATACATAAACAGGTTTGTTTTATTGAGGTCTGTTAAGATTAAGTCAATAATATGAAGTGCACACTCTATAGTTTGATGTATGCAAGTTGGGAAATTACTAAATCTCTGTCCACGCTTTGACAAAAAGCTATTGTATGCCCATATATAGTCATGATATGCCTATATATGGTCATGATATGATGTCATCATGACCATATTTAGGCATGTCACATGTTTTTGTCTAATGAAATTTGATAGTCTGGAGAAGGTTTTAGTAGAAGACGTACCTGTCAGCGGTGTTCAGGAGTAAGACGTATCTAGAAGGTATGTGATTTGATGGAAAGACTTGGGCAGCATACTGGGCTGCTGCTAGGCGGGCCTGTGGCTCGACCTAAACAAAAAACAGAATTTCAATTGATGAAATATACAGAAATAGAACTAAACAGGCACATTAGAATTCAATATGAACACCACCCTGCCCCGACCACACACCCATATTTACAAATGTCCTTCCATGGGTCTCCTGTTTCAAATTCCTGTATCCGCCACTGCTATCCCACAAAAGTCCACCTTGGCACACAATTGTCAACAATACGAAAACTACTAACATGAGGCTGAATGACATACCTTCTCTGCATTACTTAAGATAATAGCTTCCATAGTCAAAAGGTTAGCTTCTGGCATGTCCTTAAATGCATCTGTCATCATGGACAGGGCTTCCTGTATGTGCATCCTCATCTCAGGATCCTCCTAAAAAATATCAAACAAAGAAACAAGCAATGAAACGAAACTAAAGTAGAATAATTTAACAAAACTATTATTTTAAATTATTATCTGACAGATTAATTATATGAAAAAAAAGGTAAAATAAAATAATTTTTTTAATATCTGCATTCAACGTCAAGTGTACTCATGTATTTTATAGCGGAACAAAGTGATGCTATAAAGTTCACATTACTAGGAAGCAGAGTGCTGTGTAGCAGGGTTGTAACTCATGAATCAAGAACTGTAATGCAATCACAACCAAGCCACATATCTACTGTTAAAGTAGTATTAGTTGAGCAGTTGGATGAGAGGTATTGTTCGTGTTGCTTGTGCTGAAGACCAGTTTAAACCTGGACAGTGTCCGGTTTAAATTGGAGTCTAATTGCTTGGCTCTTCAAATAACCCTCATATCGAGAGGTGGGTTAAGGACAATGCTTTTGTATCCGTATATATTGTAGTTTAGTTGGGTGGTGCAGCACTGCAGCTGCCGAGGCTCAGCAGGAGCCAAGCACAAATTTCGAAATTTCCAATTAAAATGAGGACTTTTTAAAAATGTGACCATTATCACTATTTCATAATTCTGTAAGGCATTATTTTTATCATAGCGTACCTTGCACAAGGCATCAAAGAAGCTCTGTACAATTGAAATGTCGTTTGTAACAAGTTCTGGCAACCTCCTGGAATTGGAAAAACATAACATTTTAGAGTAAAGAGAATAGGCATTTCTAAAAATCAAATATAACTGTCTATAGTTACAGATCTCACGTATTGTATTTGTGTAAAATCTCTTGTAATAGTTTGATGCATTTTAAAATATAATTTATTAAACTAGGCTATATATATTTTTAAATATTAGGAATAGAATTAGGCATTTCTAAAAATCAAATATAAATGTCTATAGTTACTGATCTTACGTATTGTATTTCTTTTAAATTGTTATTATCTCTTGTAATAGTTTGATGCATTTTAAAATATAATTTATTAAACTATATATATTTTTTAATATTCTTATTTGAATCTTTAATTTTTTGTAGTTTGTTCTGTAGTCACACTAATGAAAGAAATAATTGATAAAAAGTAAATTATTTACATTTTTACTAATGACTATATATTTAGAGCAATTTTCAACTTCTGGATTTGGGCCTTTTTATCTATCTCAATGTAAACTGGTATACTGATGTTTTCATGTTTGTAATGTTTTTTTTCTATTTAATGATACTGAATAAATTCAATTCAAAGAAGGACAACGGCGTGGTATTTTGTATATAGTGATATGGAGTTTCAAGATGGACAACAAAATTATTTTTAAGGGGTGGTCTAGTTAAGAAAATACTGGCAATTAATTGTTTTTCTAGCTATTCACAAAATTAGCATCATACTTTGATAATTTAGCAACAGCTGTGTATGCCAATCCTTTTTGCTTGCTGTTCTGTAAAAAGAAAACAAAACAGAAACACCGATTAAAAGAATTTACCAATTCTAACAATATCATTCACTATACTTTCAGAAATTTCTAAAAATAGTTTTAAATTGCATTTTGGTATTATTTTCATTCACCTGGTTCATGAAATAGACTTCACTGATAATGGAAATTAAAAACAAAGTGCAATAATTTGCAATAAGTTATCAATGTATTTGTTCATGTTCATACAAAATTGTATAGAGCCCATTTCCAAAGAAAAATTAATTTTCAGTGGAGATTGAAGAGAGAGTTGTTTAATAGTATTCTTCTGTGTCTTTTTTTTTGTTTTTTTTGTTTTTTTGTTTTTTTTTTTAAATGGGCACATTTTACTAAATGAATAACTAATTCATACATAAGTAAATTAGCAAACTAACTTACTCATTATTAACATAATAATTTTAGTATTACATCTGTTTAGTATTTTATTAATTAAAAAAACTGGCAATTCAATTCATCCATCCACATAAATCCAAATAGACCTCAAAAACAAAACCAAATAAAGTCAAGTCCCAATCACCCCAAGTATGGTAGTCCACAAACCCTCATATCAACTTCCAGTACTGATCCCTAATGGATGTTTTTTGGAAGTAGAACCTACAAGGTGCAAGGTACAAGACGCTCACTTTTTTGGTCTGCGTTGCCTCCACCATCATTGGCATCAATATTGAACCCATTGCCTTCAGGTTAGCCTCACTGCTGTGTGTTGACACATGGTGGACAAACTGCAGACCCATCATTGTAAGCTTATCGTGGCTCGACTCTCCACTTACACACTCTGACACCACCTGTTATGGATAAATTTAACGTGAGAACCTCATGTACCACGTTTGACAATTCTTTTTTTGTGGGAAACATTACACAAATCAGAATTGATGCCTGAAGTAGGAAGGATGGTTTTATTTTTTCTTTTCCGGGTGTTTATTTCACAAACAGTGGCAATACAGTAGTTGGTTTTTCGAAAAGTAAATCACAAAATATTTTCTCAGACAATACATAAGCCCAAAGTAGTATTTTTTTTTTTAAACATATGTTTTTATTCTGTATTATATACCTCATACAGATAGATAGATAGATAGATAGATAGATAGATAGATAGATAGATAGATAGATAGATAGATAGATAGAAGCATCTGATTAATATTAGTATATCTGACTATACCCCTGAAAAATAGTACTTTTTTGACCTGTCGCGTGGTATAAACTTTAGGCCCACCATAGCGCTGACTGTAGAGGGGACTGCGACCTCTACAACGACAGAAATTGGCCCATGAAAGTGCCATGAATCAGTAAGTAGACGATAAACATAATTATGGAGGCTGTCGGTTCAAACTCCTGGATGCAGAACCGGACTAGACTAGGCCTATACTTATTGATGAAGCCAATAGCAGAAGAACCAAGAGACAAATTAAATATGTCTTGTCCATAGTCAACAAATATTGCAAGAAATTGGGTGCTGTTGAAATTGAGGAAATAAGCAAAGAAGAGCTATAGACACACTCTTTGATTTCCTAGGCTTATTCACTTAGTAGACCTCTAGGCTAGGCTAGAAAGTAAGTACTTTCTTTGGCCTCGTAGAATCTATGTATGAGGTATATAAAACAAATATTGACTGCTATAGATTCGGAGAACGGTGAAATCTATTGCCCCTCGGTGATGTGGAGACCGTAGCCTGTCATACTTCTGGCCTTTGGAAGATTGGCTACGATCTCCACATCATCTCGGGGCAATAGATTTCACCATTCCCCTCATAAGCAGTCAATATTTGTATAATATATCTTTGCTTATTTTAGAGAGGTTTGACTACTATGCTAGAAAATCAGATAATTCACATGACACTATTTTTTAAACTTTTCATATTTCATGGTCCAAATTTAGAAACTGGCAGTCAATTTTCAATCCATGGTCTGGGTTTGAAAACTAGGGAATTATGGCATATATTTTTTATTTCATTATACACAAAATATAATATAATTATTTTGTGTAGTAATATCATAAGCTATATTCACTTTCATATTACAGGTTATTATTTTTAAATCAATTTTTAACATCATAATCATAGTGTACATAATCAAAATAAATGTACATATTCATAACCAAATGATTTATGCAAACCTTTAGTAAGTTCTGTGTATGATTTGTAGCCTCCCTTGACTTGAGCAGGTACGGAAACAGTTTCAATTTAATCCTGGTCGCTACGGGTTGACGTACATTATCAGCTACCATGTTTGCCTGAAGAGATATTCAAATTAATATGATTGTAAGCACAGATAAACATAATCAATTTTAATATCATTTAAATATAATTTTTTTTTTACTCACCACTTTCGCAGTAGCCTTATTGCCAAGAAATAAAGTGTAGAGTTTGTCTACTACAGCAGCATCATTCCAATTTACCTCACTAGAAGATAAAAGCAACCTGAACTATTTAGCAATAATTATTTGAAGGAAATAACCTCCATTGGAACAGCAGCACAGACAAAACCTTAAAAGTTTTTTTCTTATTAAATTTCATTGTTAATGTCAATTCTTATAATAATAATTTTATTAAGATGACATTAATTATCTTCCATTTTAATGTATTCTTTATATGTTTTATTGCATTCCCTTTTGTAATTGTAACTTGCAATTTGGCCATTGGCCAAGAATTGTTACAAGTGAGGTACTTGAATTTGAATAAAGTGAAATAACTTCTGGATGCGTTGGAAAGCAATTTATTCTGGAATGGAAAAGAGATGGTTAATGATAATGATGATATTGATAATGACAGTGTTGATGATGATGATGATGATGATAATGCTGATGATGTCAATGATGATGGTTGATGATAATGTTGATGACTATGATTATGACAGTTGAGATGACGACTTCAATGATGACGACGATGTTGACGATGATGTGATAAATATGATTGATGACTATGATGTTGATGAAAATGACGATGAGAGCGGAGATGACGACAATGACAGCAACAACGACGACAACGTGTATGATGGTGTGATGAATATGATTACAATGATAATCATTATGATTAGTGTCTGGCATATTTAAGAATAAACTAAAAAGAAATCATGAACAAACTATGTTTAAGTTCAAGTATAAAAACATATAGCAGTGGGCACAGCCCAATACTGAAATTTCTGCTTTAAGACTTATCAAAGAATTAAATATAAATGATGTGAACTTACCCTTGAAAACGCTTAATTGCAATGTCTGCTCCTGTTACAACTCTGACAATTATAAAAAATTGATAATTAAATATAATTATACTTTAAAATTTAATATCAGGCTACCATAAATATGACACATAATTAGGAAGAGCATATTACGGGGCTACTCACTTATAACGGGTGTCAGCTGATGCTACTATCAGATGGCAAGCTACATCTTTCTCTGGGAGGATCTCAGCACTGATGAACTTCACAATACCTACTTTCCTCTACAGTTCACAGAAAAACAAATACGTCAGTACAACACTAACACTCAAATTATGAACAATCAGTTAAAACTCAAGTTAAACTAATACATTGCTGTGTTATATATGGCTGGGATGGACAATTCTATTATTTCCGAGGTAAGATTCTAAAAAGGAAACTGGAAAATATCAGTTTATCCAGGTAAGAATTCAGAAAATAGACATTAGTGAAACTTTGTCTAGGTGTTGTGGCTACAACGGTGACAAATAAAAATTAACACAAATGTATGGGATCAGCAATGCATGCAGTGCCCTTGTATTTTGATTTTAACAAAAAAAAAAATGGCAATACAGTAGAACCCCTCATTTACGTACGGGACGGGCCCAGAGGCATTCGTGAAAAAATCATTCGTAAGTAAAATCTGGGTTGTGTGAAATTCCTATGTCTTTACACTACCGATATGCTAGGCTGGGCTAGGCTAGACTTGCGCCCGAAAGAAATTCAAAATAACAATCACAATAATGTACAGTACCATACATACTTGTTAATGTGTATACAAATTTTATTCTTTTTTTTTTTTAGGCAATAATAGACCTACAGTATATGACTTATCTTCTAGCTTACGAACAAACACATCCCCGCGGGCGCCGCAACAGGGCAAGTGACGCAACAACGTTTTTCACTCGATCTATGTGCTTGTGGCGTCAAGTAATACCTGTACAGAATAACCCGGAGACCAGGAGTTCACAACTTTTTAAAAGGAAAGCGCTGATTGGCTGTAGACACAGTGCTTGGACATTTTTTTTTTTTAGCAATATGATTGTTCTACGCCTAAATTAACATTTATGTAATGAATAATAAAGGTAAAAAAAAAGGTGGGTGTCAGTGCCTTATTTTATGGGGGAAATAATGAAATGGTAGATTAACGTTTGTGAAATTTGATAAATAAAATCCATTATAATTAGGGGGGTTCCGCAAACTGTGGTCCGCAGCCCAAATTTGGGCCGCGAAACATTTTTGGAGGGCCGCGAAGCCGTCTGGAAATTGAAAAAAAAAATAACAAAGAGAGGTTTTATAATGGAGAAAATAATTTTTAATAAAGCCGCTTCATTGTTACAGCTAATGCGTCGCTTGCACACGCTGCTAAAGTGCTAGATGATGTGTGCTATTTGAGTTATAAGCGGTTTTTGTGTCTATGCCCCCTCGAGCCTTTATCTGTATATTTATTCCTGATAGTTCTAGTATGCAACATTATTTTCTATAAATAAATATACCTTTTTTAAGCATTAAATACATGTCAAGTGCGGATCCAGAGTTTACCCTGGCTATCGCACAGATGGGTTCCCATATTGGGAGAGTCATGAGAAGAGAGCTAGCTTGTTTTGTCGCTGGAAAATAAATTTTAGATATTTGAAAAGTTTTTGTTTTCTAGATTCTTTAAAATACACTTCGTGCATTATGAGACGTCTATTATTGAATACACTTTGAATTCATAGTTTTTCCCTACTTTGCTATGGACAATTAATAATTATAATGATGAAGAAGATGATGATGATGAGGAGGAAGCTGTGCAAGATTAATTAAAGCCCCTTTTATGTGAAGTGTTGGGAATTTGGAGACATTATCGTCGTCGTCAAATGTTTAATGCACACAGTCGGACAATAGATGATTTTTATAATATCTGTTTTGTATAGAAAGTAATCTGAAACCCATAAAATATCAGTTCAGGCATTCATCTATCTGTGGAAAATATAACATATGAATCATACAAAATAAAAAGAATTCAAATAAAATTAAAATTATGTAAAAAACATCTACACTTAAAACCAAAATGGAATATTCACTGCCCGTTGGATCCCAGTTTTAGTACTGCAGGGGTTCTGAAGGCTTTACAGTATAACCAATCCCCGTATTTCTGATAGATTGCTGATTAAAATGTAAAATTTAAGATTTTAATAATAATAATTTTATATAGCGCATTTTCAGAATACTGTTCAATACGCTTTACATAAAAATTTATAAAATACAATAAAAACAGGCAGCATTATACAATCAGATTACAAATTATTATATAGAGAAACTACAATTTTATATGCAGTACATTCTCAAATGTTATATAAATATCATATATCCCAAAATAAACCATTCAACATAAAACATCAAAATTATTAAGTTAAACTTTCTACTTCGGTGCATGAATATAATGTACAATCTAATATGACCACAGCATGGAAGTCCTCTCCTTTAAACTTCTAACCTACTAAACTTTGTGTATCTCAATAAACATATATATTTCCCTAAATCAAGGAAGTCCACTCCTTAAATTAGTAGGCCTATATATAGTATAGAGAATTTTGTCTGTCAATCTCAGATCCAAATTTTAGGAAATTATGTTTTATGCGCATGCACCGACATGAGAACTTTAACCTAATAACTTTGATGTATATGTTTTATGTTGTTTGTTGAATGGACTTCTTTAATAATAATATTACAGTCTAATATGACCACAACATAATAATAATAATAATAGTTGGATTTGTATAGCGCATCATGCGAAAAAGCCTCTATGCGCTTGGTGATTGAGCTCTTTGAGTTTGACATTTTGAAAAAAGTTTATGTTATTTTATGGAACTAAAAATCCTACTCCTTAAACTAAAGCATGGTTGGCCGTTGGCTCCGAGGAGTTCATCCGCCCTTCAGTTTTTTTTTTTCATGCTGCTGGGTGTCCATCCACTCTCCCATCGGCGGCCGCTAAAGACCACCAGATGGGGTTGCTGGAATTAGTCGCCGACGACTCGACTGGATGCAGTTTATAACGTCGTACCCAGGACACTATAATCTTATACTACACTTACATACGCTAAAATAAGCTAACTGAAATAATTTGTTAAACTATTCCCAGAATTTCTAAGTGAAGGTTTCGGGTCAGCAGTCAGCAAATCAAGAAAACAGGAATTTCTTGAGCTTTGACTTGAATATATTCAGACTTGTAGCTTCTCTTATGTCAGTTGGTAACTGGTTCCAAAGGACAGGTGTAGCAACACTAAAGGCATAAGGAAGTCCACTCCATAAATGTTTAGCATAAAATTGTACAGAGAATTTCGATTGTTTATCAATATCATCATGTTAGATCCAAATCACGTTTTATGCAAGCACCGACGACGAAAGATTAAACATAATAGTTTTGATATGTACATGTTTTATGTTATGTGTTGATTGGTCTTAGTTAATAATATTACAGTTTAATGGCTTAATGTAATAATATTACATTTTAATGGTTTACAATAATATAACAGTTTAATGGCCCTGGAACCCTGAACCCCGACCTGGGACCCTTGGCGGCCCCCTAGCCCCAATCATCAGCAGTGCTCGCGCTTCGCTCACAGCCTGACCATTTCACTTCTCGTGGCTACGGCCCTGCTATAACGTGTGTAGCTGAACCATGTTTGGTTGAATCATGGTAGATAGGAAGAACAACCAATTGTTGGGGGGGGGGGAGGAGGATTGGGAAACACAAATGTACGGTATTATTTATTTAATAAAATATTTAATTTGTATACAATGAAATTTTATCACTGAGAGAACAGATAATGATGTCAAAATATTGTATATACATGGAGGCTTCATGATCAAAAGTTCTTGCCAAGATTTGGTATGTTGGTCCCTGGCGTGGCTGGGCTGCCAGGCCGCGGCTTGGTGCCTGGAATTGCAAATAGGCCGTATTGTAAAAGTTTACGGAACGCTGCATTCAATTATGATGAGGGAGGTGTATCCAGAGATGAATAAATTATGCGCCTATCGATATGCCAACAATTTACGCATTGGCCGGAGTTTTCTCACGGCTGCAGACATGAAGTATGATCGCCGTGTTAAATGTCAGTGTAATCAAAGGGCACTATCTGCGTTTTGTATTGTAGTAGAGATTGCTGATAGTGTACAACAAACCTTTCTAAGACTGAGTGAATAAACTCCAGCACGCACCTAATAATTAATTCTTGACATGTGTGTGTGTTTTTTACAGGAAATAGGAACTTTATTTATGACAACAATGACATGATTTTCAATTGTAAAATCGGGAATTTGTAAAATCGGGGTTCGTAAATGAGGGGTTCTACTGTAGTTGATTTATTCAGGCACATATTTACAAAACAGTAATTGTCATTATTATTATTACAAAATACCAAGTTTGTTTACAACTCAAGTTGGTTAAAGATTACCAAATTTGATGCTGTAGATTAAAAATACCACAAGTGGTATACCTGATAAATTGTCTTACCAATTCAATATCTTGAGCTTCTGGAATTCTGTCTCCAATCACTTTCTTTAGAGCATTAGCACTTAGGCCTGGTGGTATGTTCAGCTTCAGGGTGTTTGTGGCATCTCCAGCAGTAGCAGTAGCAGGTCTTGGTGCACCAAGACCTACTGTGGCATTCTCAGGTGTAACTACACTGCAACACAAAACATAAAGATTGATTCAGGGCACAGGAAGCAAAGGATACATCAAGTATGACCATTTGTTTTTGTTGATATGATGGTGGCAGTAGCGGCAGCAGTAAAGAAAGTGGTGACAGTTATGATGACCATGACATTGACAATGATGATGACAATGATGATGATAAGAATAATAATGATGATGATGATGGTGCTGATGACGATGACAATGATGATGGTGTTAATAATGATAACTATAGCGTAAATAATGATAATCATAATACAAAAAGTAACAAAAACAAGACATGACCACTTCTACTAAAATGCATGTTAAGGGGAAAAAAGACAGTAAAAATAATAAAGATATAAAAATAAAAATCAGTTGTTATACTAAATATCCTACCTAAATGTGTATGGAAGAAGGAGGTAGTCAAGCATGAAATCCAACAACAGATTGGCAATATCATGCTTCCCTGATAATCCAAATAGTGATTCTTTCTTTTTAACATCTTTCGGCAACTCAATATAAGGTAAAGCAGAGACTATCATCTGTAAGAGACTATGATAAAAACAACATGCAATTATTAAGTTAAATAGTTACAGTACTATATTTCACAGTACACATTTTTCTTTTATTTTTGTAATTATAATTTTTAGTTCTTCTTTCAATTAACCAAATTAATTGAAATTGCGAAGCTGTGTGAGAATGAGCAACAGGGAAAGGTAGTTGAAGAGGCAGCATGGCTTTCACTGGTGCAGCTTCATCAGGTGTGTGAAGTCCAAAACAGAGGGGGCTGTCAGGGAGGGCTGGCCCACCCGTTGGGGAGAAACAGCACATTCTCGTGGAGAAGAAAAATTATAGGTATTTTTAACATATTAGTAGACTTCAAAATAAATATAAGCTTTTGAAACCCATAAATTGTCATCGTTTATACATCCGAGAGATTTTGAGCGATGCCTGATAACTAACACTTATACTCGTGTTGCCCCTACACATCTAGATGTGTATAAGAGACAGCTCCTAATCTGATGATTTGATTTCCCCACCACCCCCACACCCCACTCTCTTTTTAAAAAATTCTGGATCTGCCCTTGTATGTTATGGATCATAAAATCCAATCCAAATCTGTACCATCCCTGTTGCCTGCCAACTGCGGGTATTATTGCATACATTTTTATCAAAGCATAATGTCTAAACTTTTTCTTTATGCAATGACACAAATATTATATTAAATACAATATTCTACAATTTTATACTCAATGATGTTGTTTTTGTTTTCCTAACACTGGGTTGATAGGAGATGTGTATAAGAGACAGCCCACGTCCTGCCACCACCCCCAAAATAAGAACTTATGCATTGAGATTAGTAATCTCATCATGAAATTAGTAATCAATTCTAACCAATCAGCAGTCAGCTACAAACATTATTCTACTGTACTATACACAATTATGGAGCAATGGAAAATGGTTTGGTTTCCCAAACTCGAGGTTGGGGTTTCAATCCTTCGCATTTCACCTGTGTCCTTGAGCAAGGCACTTTATCTATGCTTCAGTCTACCCAGCTCTATCAATGGGTACCAGCAAATTTCTGGGAGTAACTGCGGTGGAATAACATCCCACCCAGGGGAGTATCACACTCTTATCCGCTTGACACTGCTTGAAACTGTGGATAAGCTCCAGCCCAATGGGTCCTAGTGGTTCGGCAAGAATTTACTTTCTTTTACTATACACAATTATATATTGACTTACAGATGTTGTTGATGTGTTGGTTTATCTTCTAAGCATTGAATAAGAGAACCAACAAGGGGACCTTTCTTCTTATCAGGTAAGCGACTGTAACCATCTTTCATGTACATAATTGTGAAGTTCTGAAATTTAAAAACAGAAATATTCAGTCAACTCAGCCCTTGAGAACAAGCCAATTCATAATTTGAAATGTGCATGCCTCTATTCATGGTAAATTGAGGTCAACTCCATATTAACTTATTATAACTCTAATTAACAGTTCAATATTAATAGTAATAAAGCACAAAAAAATAGTTTTGTTGCTTAATTAAAGCACAGAGATATTTCAAAATAAGGGTCTGTCTGTTGCTATGATATAATTTTTAGCTCCTATGAGGAGCTCTAGAAAAACTCGGCTGATTGATTAATCTGATTGATTAATAGATCCCTTTTGTATGGGCAGCCATTAGGGCCAATATACTCTACTGCCTCAGGAGCTCTAGAAACACTCGGCAGATTGATTAATAGATCTTTTTTGTATGGGCGGCCGTTAGGGCCAATATGCTCTACTGCCTCAGGAGCTCTAGAAACACTCGGCAGATTGATTATTAGATCTTTTTTGTATGGGCGGCCGTTAGGGCCAATATGCTCTCTGTCTCTTATACACATCTAGATGTGTATAAGAGACAGAAATAATAAAGATATAAAAATATCTTATACACATCTAGATGTGTATAAGAGACAGCCCTACTAGGCCTAGCAGGCTTTCTAGCCTGTTAGTGTTAGGCCTAGGCCCCTAGTATTTATATCATCAGCCTAGCTTAAAGCCATGGCGATTACCGGTAATTTATTGTACATATAAATGTTTACTTCCGGGTACAAGATCGATGGTAAAATATCATAGGCCCCCTAGGCATCACGTCCAGGCAACCTACTACTACTACTAGCAGGCTTTCTAGCCTGTTAGGCCTAGGGTCTAGGCCCTGTCTCTTATACACATCTAGATGTGTATAAGAGACAGATATACTCTACTGCCTCAGGAGCTCTAGAAACACTCGGCTGATTGATTAATAGATGATTTTTGTATGGACAGCTGTTAGGGCCAATATACTCTACTGCCTCTATTATACTGCCCTCATCAGAGCTTTCGAGATTACGAGAACTCGTAATACTATTGGCCTAAGGTTAGGATCAGCGCCATACGTTCCACCACTCTTCCCATGCACTTTGACTGGTAAAATTGTAACATCTGGTCTAAATTTTATTGTTTAAGTATCAAAATGAATAATTAAAGTATAAAAAGTGGCCTGTTTATAAATGTTTGAAAAAATAAAAAGCTGACAGTAGATTTACACAATTATGGAGCAATCTGGCCTGGGTAACAGTCATTTTTTTGTAGCCTACAGTATTGTTACAATGATCATGGTGTTCATGATGTTGATATTAATTCATTGGCACTTTCCAAAGTATGTTTAATAACACATATGAGGCTTATTACATAATGTTGATGTGTTATATACGCCTGGGTTAGAGGATTCCATCATTCTTCATGGGTAAGTTCTATTTGGGATCTGGCTTTTATCGGTTCATCCAAGTAAGTATTCACAAATTAGACATCAATACTCTCTATCCATTTACAAATTAGTATTGGAGGAATCTATAATAGATATTTTGTTCTCCGTTTTTATCCGTATCAGATATTCTGCAAAAAAAAACAAACAAACAAACAAACAGATAAAAAGTCTAATAAACTAAAACATAAGATTAAGAAGGTATAAAAAATGTAAACATCTCACAGTGACAAATGAGCTACTGGCAGGGTCCTTATACTGATTAAGTAGAGCTTCCATTGGCAACTGTATCTGTGGCCTGCTTTTCAATCGTTTGTTGACATGTGCCAGCAACTGTATGACCTGAGGGAAGATAAAGGCACTATTATTATTATTATTATTAAATAAAGGCAGAGGAATAATAGTAATAATAATACAGGAATTTGTAAAACACCTTTTCCCAGGAAGAATGGAAACAAAATTTCAATGCATATCAATGCCATTCTAATTGGAAATAAAAAAGAATACCAATACAAAAAGTTTTAATAGGGCCTCCGGTCCCCTTGTTATGCTAGAGAACAGGTGGGAAAAGTGCGGCCCGCGGGCCACATGCGGCCCGACGGCGATTTTTTTACGACCTGCGAATAGAAATTAAAAACCCTATGTGTGCGGCCCGCCAAGCAACATTGGTTAGAAAACACCTTGTTTTTCACGGCCCGACACAGATCATATGTAAAAAGTAACACTAAACTCAAAATAAAGTGGTGTAAAAGCAGTGCTTGGAGGTTTTTGGAAGGTCACTAGAAACTAGAAAGTTTTGGTGCGGCCCTCGGTGTTAAATCGAATATTCACTTTGGCCCTCCGACCAACATTTATGCCCATCCCTGCGCTAGAGCTACCCACATCCTAATCTGATGATTTGATTTCCCCACCACCCCCACACCCCACTCTCTATTTAAAAAATTCTGGATCTGCCCTTGTATGTTATGGATCATAAAATCCAATCCAAATCTGTACCATCCCTGTTGCCTGCCAACTGCGGGTATTATTGCATACATTTTTATCAAAGCATGATGTCTAAACTTTTTCTTTATGCAATGACACAAATATTATATTAAAACAATATTCTACAATTTTATACTCAATGATGTTGTTTTTGTTTTCCTAACACTGGGTTGATAGGCTTTTGAGCTAGAGGGTCTATCACTAATTATCAATACTAGACGTCAATACTATAAAATTTGTTGCTTGCCCAATTTTGTTTGTTAAGACATTTTACCTTTTTGCGAACCCCTTCATGCTTACTTGCAAGTTTGAGTAAAACTGGTGGTAGAAATCTGTTGACAAACTTTTCAAGTTCTTCATCAGTGGTTGCGGACCCGACACGTAGAAATACACGATCAAGCAAAGCTGCAAAATATCAAATTTTCTATCAGAAATATAAACAATAAACATTAAGGAATTTCCCCAGCATTTCAACAAAATGAGCATTTTTAAATGAGACCAAGACCTACATCACATTATTCTGTATGTATAAGGAAAAAATGTTTGTATTATTACTATAGTAGTAGTAGTAATATTACTACTCTTAGCAGTTAAATATTTTTCTTAACAAAAGAATAATAATAAATAAAAAATAAAGACACTTTGCTTCTGTTTTTGAAAAAAAAAAAATTTTTATTCTTAAATACATGTTTTGTCCAACTTTTTCATTTCAATATATTGTCCTTTATGTTTTAGAAGTTACAATCAAAATAGGCCTAGGCCTACCCTAGGGGCCTAGGCCTCTAGTAGTAGGCCTAGGCCTAGGTAGGCCTATACATACATAAATATTAATTTATTTTTATATTATATACTACAATCAAGAATTAAGAATATTTTATTGTGATTGATCAAACAAGTGAACTATGAAATTTGTTCTGGAAGTTGCTAAAAATACACTACAAAAAGGGAACCAGTCAATTCGAGCGAATGCCACTTCGAGAGAAGGCCAATTCGAGCGGATTCGAGCGAATTTGAGCGGAATTTTTTTCAAGCGGATGCTAGTTGAGCGGAAGAAAATCCACTTGTGCAAACAACAACCTGTGAGAGTTTTACGAATTACTTCAAAATTTCCTATTTTTGAGCTAAAAATTTGACATTTTCAAAGGGAAAGGGGGCACACAACAGTTCCAGAATAGATAAGTGAGTAGCATAACTCAATTACAAATATAATTTGCTTTTAAATAGAGAACCCCAACCAGTGGCGGATCTGGGGAAGGAGGGGGTGGTGAATAGGGTAGCTAGCCACCCCACTTTCTTTACCGTGAAAAAAATAATGGTCACTCATCTTGTGTGTGTGCTTCTCGTGCACTCTAATAAAACATACACTTTCTTTTTTTTTAAGCTGAAAAGTGCGCAATTCTATTATAGTTTTAACTTGTTAGCGGCCATCTTGGTAGTCCTAGGAGTTGTCAAGACTGTAATTCAAACATGGAGTAATTATCAAATAGTACTAAAAACCTTTCAGGACCTAAGTAATCAGAGCATTTTTGCATTTAAAACAAACGAATACAAGAATACGGCGATGATAAATTCGCCCTGGTTATAGTTTGCACTAAATGCATCCGCTCGAACTGGCATCCGCTCGAACTGGCATCCGCTCGAACTGAATGACATCCGCTCGAATTGACTGGCATCCTACAAAAATACAAAACTCTAAGTAGTAGACAGTCATGCCAGCCTAGGGTCTAGGCCCAGGCCTAGCCTGTCTAGATTAGTTAGGCTAGTAGTAGAGGGTAGGCTGTAGCTTTAGTTAGTTTAGGCCTAGCCTTGGCCGGGTGCAGGTCAACTCGGCTACAAGTCAACTCGGCCACAAGTCAACTCGGCCACAAGTCAACTCGGCCACAAGTCAACTCGGCCACAAGTCAACTCGGCCACAAGTCAACTCGGCCACAAGTCAACTCGGCCACAAGTCAACTCGGCTTCTGCCAACTCGGCTACAAGTCAACTCGGCCAAAAATCAACTCGGCCACAAGTTATTTAATGTAAATCTAAGTATTTGCATCCTTTTTCTTCAATATATGATTGAAATAAAGTACACAGTATGTTTTAGTAAAACAGGACCACCACACTACCAAAAGAGATTTGAATGCTATTGCCTATGAATTAAAAAGAGTTATTTATTAATGTGTTCGTCTTCTGTTTACTC